CTACAGTCGAGGCAGGCTCACGAAAGTTACTCTGGCCTTCCCAATGCGAATGTAAATATACTCTGGCTAGACCATTACCACTAATACAGCTTCCAAGGTAGACAAATTTGTCCACTGCTTCACCCGCCTCATCTTTAAACATGAGGCTGTGGTTCAAGCCCTCCCATTCTGGTGGCAGTATTCTAAAGTTTTCAGGTGCGAAACGCATGCCAAAGTGTGAGGTGGAATCATTTGGGTTATTTAATGTGGCCCGCATTACTGTGGTATTAGGTCCAAGAAGAACTATGTGGTTCGCGTACCCGATATATGTGTGTGCGAAATTCCTAAGAGAATTATGACCTCATAGGCTTTAGAGACTAGGGTGAATGCTCCATAATCGTATCGGTGACGAAGTTGAAGAGGAAAGGTAAAAGAGGACACCCTCGCTTAACACTGCTTAATGTAGTGAACTCAGGCGAGGGCTTCTCGTAGACCTTCACGTGCCAGCAATAATTAGCATGCAGCACCCTACGGAGGGTCAAGAATTTATGAGGAACTTCTTTGCTTCACAGACACTGTCTTAGTTGGTTGGTGGAAGCAGTTCTAGAATCTGCCGGAAGGTGAAAATGTGATCGATGCATCCTCTTGAAGGACGGAACCGAGCTTTTTTTTCTCTCACGGAATTGTCTCTCCATATGTTCAGTCTTCCTGGTAGTTTTTAAACAGTGTCCTAGTGCCCTTTTTGAAGGCAGGAGTAACTGTCGACCTGCCCCATTTTTCAGGCATTTTCCCGTTCACTCCATATATCATGACTGGACTGGGATCCAATCCAGCAAAGCGTGTTCAGCTCTGGGGCTAAATGTAACTCACATGCCATGTATTCGACGGATCATCGCTTCATAATTACCGGACATATGGAGGGAGAAATGTGAAATGCTCAGTTCATCCCTGGCGTTTTGAGATACATAACCACGGTTGGATCTTGCATATGTATTTCGGAGACACAGGATACCTCAATTTAAAGGGACTAAAAGATCTCCGTGAGCATCATCTGTTTCCTAATTTGACATGGAATGCGGACGGTAAAAGCTCATATAGAGAAAATCTTGTGGATTTTGCAGGATATTATTCTGTTTATTTTTAATAGGCAGTGGGGTGCATAAAACCCATCGGTCAGATAACTGACAGTCAATGACCCGGCAACGTTTGCTTGTGCGGAAGGAGTGAGTTGGGGAGGGAAATCGGTGGGCAAAGAACTGTTCGGGCAAATGGTACTTCCCGGTTTCCCAGGTCGAGTTGGGGGGTCTGGTTGAGGTGCCCCCACCTCGAATTTCTGACTCAAAAGGCAGTGGACATTAGGCCTTCCATCTGGGACCCTGCACGGAGTCGGTGACTCAATAGTCTGAACTGCTTGGCTGCAAGTGGCCGGCGTCACCCGAGAACTCAGGGAATAAGTCACCACTGTGTCAATCCTGATGTGCCTGCGCACTTTTGAGCAGCACCGTACTTTGTTTTTTTCAAGTATTCTAACCGTATTGAATAATGTGGTTACGGTCAACCGTGTGTGATCGGAGCGTGCGGTTTTTGGGTCCGACCTTTTCTAACCTCTATCTTCTTCGATGGAAGGCAGCTTCACTGCTCCTATGAATACGAACATTCTGGTCACCTTGGGAAACACCTTACTAACTTCAAACTCTTACCCCGGAGGACTTTGACTCCGCCTCGTAGCATAACTACGCGTCGTACGGGGTCTCACTGTTTTCGGTCTGACTGCACTCACTTTGCCTTCCTGGCATGTTTGCACCCTGTGGAGTAAAGCTCCAGTCACTGCAGCCCACAGAATCGTTGTGGCACTTAAGCCTAACCACCATATCAAGGTGACAGCCTTAGATCGGGAAATGGAGAATAGATCTAGTGCTAGCGTACCACAAATATCATCAGGTGTCTGCGCTTGAAAACATTCAATCAGATGATTTGAAAAGAAATTGAAAGCACGAATGCTATTGATATCGGTTTACCGCAATTGTCTGCACTGTCTCCGAGACACCTCTTCTTGAAAGGTAAATGAACACCAAACTTCTTGCTGTCTCCTTCACATTCTTCTGCCAAGTCACGCATCATCCACCTCGAATTTTGTGCCATTCTGCGTGGGGCATGGACAGCAAAATTCATCGGGGCGTTCGACGTTTTGGCGTGTGAATGAGCCACAACAGTTAATGGTGTTAGATCTTACCTAGTTCAAAGAGTGGAGCCTGATGCCTCTCAGAGGGCTATGGGCTGATCGCCATGCTTCCAGAAGCTGCGAAGATAACGGGAAGTCTAGTTGCCTAGTCACTACATACGCCCTCCGGCAACAGCTAACGGAGTTTGTGAAGAAGACATCAATAAGTAACTATTTGAAAAGGCAGTAAATTCAGCTGTGGTAGCCTTTCGGTGGGTGGCCCTGCACCTTTAAGGAGACATGGTGGCTGATATTGCAAAGTTGCTCGAGCCTAGACAGGAGCAATCTAAAACCGAGTGTTAGGATCAAACCACGGACCTTCTTACCAGTAGTTTCGCTGCTCAATGGTCTAAAGCGCCGTTGACCGATGAGCTCAAATCCAGCACCCAAACATGCAAAGTCATCCACACATGGCATTGACAAACACCTATCACGTCGGTGGCGACCCACTAGTCTACCCTGACAATGAGTGTGACTTGGAAACGTTGGTCTCCAGTGATCTTAGTCTGGCAAGCAACACAGAGCATATGACCAAATGAGCGTCCATGAAATGGATTTCTGAAGGAGCACCTTAATCAGATTTGACACGATTTACGCCAGAACTATCAGACCGATGCTAGAAATTAATATCCAGCCACATTCTTTGAAAGGGATGTTCCACTCCTCATATCCACTCAACATGGAGCCACTAGCAGCATTAGGGGTGTAGCAAATAAATTTTGTTAACTAAGGCTTAAAGCAAGCGAACCTTACAGTCTTGTGTTGTAGACCTCATGGAGACCTTATCCTGATACACAAAATGGTGTCAACCCCCCACCATCCATTCAGGTAACTATTCACCCGTTAAACACACGTTTTTGGTGGTCAGCGTATCACTCTTAGTCACTAGCATAGGAAGGAGAACAACTTCACTTCAGCCTTTGGACTGAATTAGTGTCTCCCAAAACACAGCACAATCCTGAAATATAGACGGCATGAATTCTACCACGAGCTGTCCACCAGTCCGTTGTACAGTGACGTTTCCTGACCAAAAGGGACTTCGCCTGTTTAGTAGTCACCGAAAAACCTAGTCCATCCGTTCAATAATTGATGTTGCTTTCTTCCGTTTTTTCTTCGTTGCCCTTTTTCTCATTTATGTTTCTTGGTCAGTATGCATACTCTTCATTCCTATTCAATTTCGAGATCGTTGAGATAAGAGAACGAACGCTGGAAGATTTTCAAACCTTCCGGTATTCAAATAGCCTCTGACGAAAACCTTGTCGATCTGGAATATGCAGATATCGTTCTCTTCTCCGAAGAGAAGCTGCGGATGTTTCTGATGACTTGACTTAAGTCATCCCGTCCTCTGGTATGCGCTCTGCGCCCACAAAGTGTAATGTCCTACTCGTAGACATGCGGTCATTGAACAAGCCACTTACAATCCAGGTAGAGGCACTCGAAGTTGTGGAGCATTTTACATACCTTGGAAGTTCTGATTTTAGTGGGACAGATAAGGTTAATGTACGATCTCGGGTCGCGTTCGCTAATTTGAGACAAAGCGGTGTATCCCTGGATCTCAAGGGACGTGTGTATCAGGCTACAGTGCAGGCTGTTTTCTTGTACGGCTATTCGAGCCGCGTAACTGAGACGTTTTCATTTGTTCGACAATTTTTGTCTCAGAACCACAGCTCATGTGGGTTGGTGTCGGCGAATTCGTAACGAGGCAATTAGGGAGCAAGTTTTCGGTCGTGCAACGGGTACTTCTATTGAAGAATGTGCCCAGCTCCAGAAGCTGCGTTGGTTGGGACATGTGTTGCGTTTGCCTAACCGTCGTTTGCCGAAGAGAGTGCTATTTTCCACGCCCAATTCAGAGTGGCTGAAGCAGATAGGTGGGCAATCATTATCTTGACAGGGGGATATGAAAGAGATTACGAAACGTTCGGGTGCTGCCGGTGCTACTCGCCTTCCAGGATGGGGAGCGCGTTATCCCCACTAGACCCGGTTGGAGACGATGCAAGATATGTATGCCAACCGATGTCAGTGGCGATTTTCTTATCAGTTTCTGTCCAACTAGCACTATATCCCTTCCCCGTCCACCTTTATTCTTTCCCTCACAATAAGGCTTTCAAATAAATCATAGTTAAGCGGCAGCGAAGCGTCGGTTTTGAACATCGATATCATGCTGCCGATGATGATAGTGATGATGATGACGATGATGATGATGATGATTTTGATGCATTCCTATTCATTTTATCTGAATAACACCATGTTCCCAACGGGGCAGTCAATGACCGTACAAGCGGTAATCAGTTATCGTTACTATTGGCCTGGCATTCCGACTGCCCAGTGTGAATCACTAAGTAGTTACCGATTTACTGAAGGAGGCGAAAGGGCTGAGGTGGTGCCAGGTTGTTCAAACCTAGATCGAGGCAGCCAAAAGTCCAGGCATGGAATCGGATAATGAGCTAACTGGAGTCGCTTTTTTGTGTTGGAGTGAAGATGGTAGCAGCTTGATGAAAACGCAGCTTTTGGTAACGGCATTGAGCAAGGTCTATATCTTTTCTTTAATTTCATCCAATCAGCCGGTGACTATTTGAAAGGCCAGTCAGGTTGGCCCTACAATACCGTTTTCAATGGACCAGCCCAGACCCCAGTAACTTTAATGGTACCATCAGCGTATTGAGCGCGAAGCCTCCCGTCAATTCCATGTAAATTGTTTAGTCGTAAGCTGCGCGACACTCGTGTCTATTCTTCCTTATTTTTACTGATCTTCATACATTGTCATTCCCTTCTCAACTTCATGGACCAGCGGCTATTGTAAATGCACCATTACCAGACTTCACAGCGACAAAAGTTAGTTGGAGGCGAGATGGCTAAAGTGGTTAGAGCGCGAATTTACTGACCGGAAGGTCCGTGGTTCGAACCCGACCTCTGCCTCTGGACTTCCCCTGTCTAGGCTTGGGCAACCTGGCCGTATCCCAGACCTCATGCTTCCTTCTGGTGGCATGGCAGTTAGGCAGCGAAAGAGTGCTACAGCCGATTGATTTTTTAAATTACTTTACTTGCACTTCAGCTTGCTTGCCCAGCTTCTTTTCATTTTCACGTAGGACTCCCAACCATAATGCTACTGGTTTCGAATGCACTGAACCATGTTAAGCTTAAATACATCGAACTATTAAGCGGTTGATCACGACTCACTCGGAATCTTCTTTATTCCAGATTTAACGGATGGCTTGCCTGAATGCGTTTATGTTCTGTACCACACATTACGGATGCGATGATGAGGTTTGTCTACATATGTCATTTTTGATCTCTCCGCTCGCGATAGAGCCTTTTAGCCAATGAGTTGTCAAAAGTTCGTTCTCATGTATCTAAAGGACTCGCCTATTTTTCAGAATCTGGGTAAGTTTCGTATACTTTTGTCTAGTAGCTTCGTCCAAGTGCTTCCTCATCTCCACAGTTGAAAGAACAATTGCAGCGCCTTATCAGCACCTTATCCACCTTCTTGGTTAGTGGTTCACCAATCTTTTCACTCTAATGCCCCATTTAGAATGTACCGGAAACCGTTTGTCGTGAGGTGTTCGTGCAGTTTTTGGCGGCTCAGGAAAACGGTGCAAACGGGTCACAGGTACAACAGTTTCACTTTAACAACGTGTGCTATCTCAACAATGATAGCCATTTTTCATAGATGGACGTATACATGGTCTATTCAACCGTATCCGCCTTTTCTATTGGCAAGAACGTTTGGCTCTTTGTGGCCTTTTGAAGCTTGCACTGTGTAACTGGCATGATGGGTGGTCCTCGGTCGCAGATGCTGTGTTCGCTCTGACTAGTTATGAGACACGTACCGAACTAATAAATGCCGTAATAACAGACTATTTACACGTGGTGTCTGAAACTGAGGAATTTGTAAAGAATCAAAAGGGCCCCACGACTTCTGCAGGGGTAAGTTGCTTCCCTTTAACTTGTGAATTTGATAGCGTTTTGCGCCATGTTTTGGTGGAGCCCTGGTGGACTTTGACGTGGGCGATAACTTTGATCTCATGATATCACAAAAACTGAAAGAACAGGTCGAATTACTCCAAGCGATTCTAATTGGAGTTCACATGGAACTACAACCTTCATCAACGTCGGCCGTATCTCAGTTCACAAAGCTTATGGAGTCTTTTTGGGTATGTCAAGTCCTCTGCTTGATCCCACTTAATCTTTGTTTCTAGTCTCAATCGTTAGGACTCCACCAACCCATCCTACGAGCACTTGTCAAACGGCCTTCTATACTGGATCAAATTTGGTGAGACAGTCTAATTCGTTTAACATTGCTGGTTGCATGGAGTCTTTTTTAACCTATTTTTTACATGGATTTTGCTTGAGATGCATCCAAAGCGAAGTTCACCGGCAGTCGATATCTAGCAGTTTTGTCTACCTAAATGAACATCGCTGCGTTCTTGGTAATCAGTTTCACATGTATTCACTCCCAAACACCTACTTTGGACAACAATATGATATAGGTGACTGAAAAGACGTTTAAGCCGTGAAAATTTTTTGTTTCAGGTTTATGCGGAGCTTTGTCCAATCGTTTTTACGAGGCTACGTAACCTAGTCTTTTTCGTTGTCAGAATCAGGCTCCAACAACCTAGAGTGTGCGAATTGAATGTTATGTTCATCTATGTATATGCGAATCTTAAGAATGGTTGAATCATTCTGTTTTACGTCCCCTGTTGAAGTGGTATCGATCTTCGTCCGAAAGCAAGACTCGCACGTTGACAAAACTGGCACAAGTGTGTGGAAAACCTTACTCGGTTTGGTGTCTGGTCTGTCGGTACGCTCTGATATTATCTCCTGAGCTTATGTTGTAACCGATAGCATGTTCGCTTTGCTGTATCATATGTACGCTTGTGAAGTTCTTCTCTGAGCATTGTTTTATCAGAGGTCGGCCATGTCCTTGTAAAGTTGTATCGTTGGTTGCGAGAAATATGCTTTTTTAATGAGCAAATCGAGCTACTTTAGTGCAAGGTGATGAGTCTGTGTGCCACCAGAACACTTTCATCGCTTTCCCCAGCTACATCATCAGTTACCTTGCTCCATCTGTCTGACTCTCATCCATTCAACAACTCTCTCCTGAATGCGGTCGTTTTTCTGTCCAACCGATCATTGTGTTTTCGGTCCCCCTCTATACAGCTAGATTTCCTCATCGTTCTGAAGTTTCTGACAAATTCAGGAAAATGGGACAACACTCATGCATGCCATGTTTGCCATGAATTGATTTTTGATTCTTCAGTGACCTTGTGTTTTGACATCATGCACTATATATTTCTCAAAATAAACTTCCGTTTGTCACTTATTCGTGTATACAACCCGGATTTCACGCTAGCTATATCGCTTCACATATTTCTGAGGCTTCTTTCTAACAACTGTACCACCGCGTGCCTCTAGAATTCGGTCTGGTTGGTCGGACTTTATGGCACAAGCACCTGATATGGTTGTCCGCTTTCCAAGTTCACTCACTCATGCATGCCATGTTTGCCATGAATTGATTTTTGATTCTTCAGTGACCTTGTGTTTTGACATCATGCACTATATATTTCTCAAAATAAACTTCCGTTTGTCACTTATTCGTGTATACAACCCGGATTTCACGCTAGCTATATCGCTTCACATATTTCTGAGGCTTCTTTCTAACAACTGTACCACCGCGTGCCTCTAGAATTCGGTCTGGTTGGTCGGACTTTATGGCACAAGCACCTGATATGGTTGTCCGCTTTCCAAGTTCACTCCCAATACACCGACCGCCGCTGCCCATGTTTGGCATCTGCCACTATTCCAGCCCCCTGCCATTCTATGGGTGACTAGCAGATAGTTCTCGAAAGAAAGTCACAATTGAAGGATTTGATGTGCTTGGTTCGAGCAGCACTTTTATGGTGCCATGGTGATTTTTTGGTGAAGTAGCGTTCTTGAGTGTCTGGTGTTTTCTGGACTTTTAAACTGTGTAAGCCCATCATTCCCGACGGACACCATCACAACAAAAACAACCGAATCCCCTATTTGTTATGCATTTTTAATGGTTGGCTGCCATGTAACCCGAAAAAGGTACAAAGGCAGTGACATAAGCCTAGACAGGAGCCGTCGAAAAGCCAGAGTCGGATATGAATCACGCGATTTCTGGTCAGCAGCTCGAGCCTCAGCCACCGGGCTAGTTGAGGCTCGTGTATGCCAACACCCATAATATACAGGCAATCTTATCGTTTTTCAGTTGTTCTTCGCAAGGTTCACCTTCGTGCCGACCTCATTAGCACTGGATGATCCCCATGTTCGACCGGACGTGGTTTAATCATCTCTGCTTTCCTGATAGAAGTCTTGCTGGGGCACTGCCTTGTATAGTCTCAGTTCTCGTTTTTCATTTATTCCATACACTTCGTTGTAATAGTTCTTGTCTAACATTTCGACACTTGATGGTGCTTGTTCACTGTAGCGAATCGTTCTCTGCAGTTTTCCTCTGGACACACGGTCCCCATAGATCAATCAAAATAGGTCCTTTCTGAGAATTGCTCTTTTAGGCAGAAACAGTGAAAGACTGTTTAAATATCTTTTTTACGCCACCGTTGATGGCGTATCATTTTCCGACGATTAATTGCACTGTTCCTTACACGGGCCAACAAGTTCCAACCTATGTTTCCATGCAGAAGGTTCCATTTCTCCAGCATTTTAAAACGCTTCCGTAATGCTCGTGATGATGGGTTGAGAAAATTTGATCAGATCCCGAAAAGCTCGGTGATGCGAATCATTTTTTTCTTATTTGGATCAACCAGGTGGGTTTTGCTGGTATCCATCTCCCAAAAGCTTTGAGTGGCTGAAATCTTTTGAATTCAACCAACTATAAACATTCGGTTGACTTCACTGTTCGTCAACTGGTGATTATGATAACTTTCGTTAGTTGAATAACAAACCTGAAGTCCGGTTTAGTCAACAGCTCACTTGAACAAAGTCCACTTTTCGTGTCCTACTCATTGTCAAACTTTCAGGCATTTTCCTCCAGGATTAGGAATTCCCCAAGATTGGAATTTCACACTAAGCAGAACTCGAATATATCGTCAGATCTCTTATATCGTACGTCTGGCTCAGTGGTTAGGGCGCAAATTTACTGACCGGAAGGTCCGTGGTTCGAACCCGACTTCTGTCTCTCGACTTCCCTTGTCTGGGCTTGGGCAACCTGGCAGTATCCCAGCCCTCGTGCTTCCTTCTGGTGGCATGGCAGTTAGACAGCTGAACAACTTACCATTATTTTTTTACGTCTGGAAACGGTTCACGATAGGTATTCACACGTCCCATCTAATCTAAATTGTTGTAGATATTCTCTCCTTTCCTTTAACCATGTGTTGTTATGCACGGGTTTTCAGCCGCATACCATACAATCGTATTTTGGACGAATCAACCCACCAAGGTATGCAATACAATTATTGGTTTTGAACTTCCCATGGTCAGTTTTAAGAACCCACAGAAGGCGATCTTCAAGAACACTAAAACCTTTAGCTGCACGTCAGATGAGCAGAATGGGTGAATTTTTGGTTTCATCTGAGAGCAACTTCAACCTGCGTTTGATTCCAAATCTGATCTGTGGTCCGAGCTGAGCAGCGGTGTCTCTAAGATTCCAAAATCCGATACAAGTCTCAAGGGACCATTCAGAGGTGGCTTTTTTTTCTGAGGCGGTGTGTCCACACGAAACAGCTGAATAAATTCCAAAATATACACCATCATGTACATCGCAATGGCTTAAAAGCAGCTTGTATGAAACAATTTTTTTGTCTCCTGCGTCCATTTCCAGCTTTTTACAAACACTGATTCTTATTCGTTCTGCGCGCTTGGATTGCCCCTCCCTGTTTCGACGCACGTGAGTCTTTGTTGCATGCCAAACGGGACATTTTTTGTTGGTTATTCTCATGTGATGTATCCATGATTGTGAGAATAGCAGCATGTGAGGGTTCCTGTATTGAACTCACCTTTCCCGAGATTGGTCACTGAGATCATTGAAAACGCTTGTGTGTTGTGTTGTCGTTGGTTGAAGTTTTATTAAATTCTTGAAGTGTACGTTGATTCGGATGACGAAGAAGTCACGAACAAGCTTTGGAGAATTTACTTATTTCGCCTTACGGCAACGGCCATGAGTCCTGTTCAAGTTCATTTCTTTGACAGCCTGAACACATTATCTAGCCACTGTAGAGTATATGGAACTTTATTTGCCCTATTCAGCTCTTATCATGTACACTGATTGAGCGTTTTTATCTCTTTGGAAATTGTTGGACTTCACTGATTGCCTTTCAGGTGTCAGCTGTGCCGAAATGACTAGCTTCGCAGGGTGAGCAGGTGCATTCAGGAAGGTGAATAGTGATTTAAATTATGACCCCGCTCCTGACGCTGCTCCCAGGTGAACATGACAGTCTTTTTTCTGATTGCTGCAAAACTCTGTGCAGACAGCGTCACTGCGATTGATGGTAGCGCGGTCTCGTGAGCTCATTTCTCTGTGTTTTTACCGCTCAGGAGATGGTTAAGTATGTTCTTGTGGATTTTTTCGATGAGGTTTCGGCGAGCACAAGATACGCTATCCAGTTCTCCGGCATTATTCTGAGGACACCAGTTACATCGATTGATTTCGATTCGCTGTTTATCAATAAGTCTGAAATAATCCTTCCGATGTGTCCACGTTTTGTTTTTTAAAGTTCTCCGAAGTAACAACTTTTAGCTTCATGTTTACTGTCGTCCTGTTACTACTGAGAAGAGCACGGTTTTTTTTTTGAAATTTGCACATCTACCTTGCATATCTTTTTTACTCTTTCTGGGATTGAAGTGATCCAAGAACCAAGTCGAGGAAAACTCCATCCAGGCACAGTAGAGTTGCCCCTGGTTCAACAAGGACAGCATCAACTTTGGAACCTGCAGCACCGCATTTTCTATCTGATACACGTCTGCTTAATCGACTGCTCGTCAGTCTGTCCGATTTGGGTGACCTTCCTGTTCACGGACCGTTGTTGCTATTCGGGGCTGTTTGCGCTTCCTCGTTCGCTCCACCGTCTGCTTCTTTGTCTGTTGCTGGTGAGCAGCGAACTGATGAAGAGGTTGAATGGGTACTTGCTAGTGGCGTTGGCGAGCAACTTGACCGGGGTGCAATCAGCGAAACTGCTCAATTACTTGCTGGTCAGTATGGAAAATTGGCTATTGAATCGTTACATGTATTCGATTTCCTCATGGAGCAGTTAAATGGCTTCGGAAATACCGATTCTGGAGTAAGTGTGATATATAGACTGGTTTTTATCAACGTTAGTCATTCACTCTTAAATCGGTTCTCACGACTTTGTTGTTTCTACTTATTTAGTCAAGTGAACTCATGGATCACACAGGCACTGTTGTTGCTGCTACTGGATTTGGTTCGGAAGCTCATATCGGACTTGTGGACTTTTGTGCACATGTGGCCGTTTTAGATTTACTTACCCTATTGACGAGAGATGTGGTTCTATGGTCACTTGATTCCCAACTTCCAGATGTGCACCATTATCCCGAGCTGTTTGGTCCTCCGAATCAGACCGCCTTCATTCAACTCGTTGCGAAGACACTGCACGTCGTTGTTCAGCATGTCCAGTACGTCAGTTCGCAGCCTCGACTAAAATCAAATAAGAATCACGAATCTGAGTCCGGTTCCGGCATAGGTAACCGTCTTGCGAGTTTGATCGAATCACTGACTGAAGGTTAGTTCCCCAACTTTTCGGGTTTTTACTGATTTATAGAAATGTTTTGTGTGGTGCATAAGGTCGCGTTCGAGAGCCACATCTGTTTAGTTATCTTGCCCGCCTACAAGTCCAAGAATAAGTCGTAGCTTGGAGCAAGAGTTAAGCAATGCTCTGCAGTCACTTAACTACTCCACCACAAGTTGAGATTTCCGCTTGATCGGCAGCCTCGAATGGAAGGTATAGGGAGAAATACCCCAAAAAGGCTCCACTGTGGTGGTTTTGTCCCATTCCAAAGGGCTGTGGGTGCAGGCACTGGCTCCGGGATGTCCACTTATTTGTGTGTCCTCTTTACGTCAGGACAGTAGGTGATCCTGCGTGCTTCCCACTTTGGTTGTGTTAACGATGCGTCGATGGGTGACTCCCGCACCATGTCAAGCTCGGGTGTGTCACCATACCTACGCACACAGTTGTCGTTGGTTATCCTAGTTCAGTCTTACTTAGCCAGTATTCTGAACTCCCGCTGTCAGTCTCACATTTAATCAAATTTACTTCCGAAGGAAAGCCGACAGAAAGCCAATCTGCTCTCAGTTTCATACTAACTACACTGTCTGGATATTTCTCCAATAATGCGGTGATAAGTTCGGCGATGTCCGATTCCATTTTCAACATTTCCACAAAGATGTGGTGTTTTTCGTCTGACGGACCGTAAGTCGTCACAAAGGCACGATACGGGTGGAATGGCAACACCGTTTTTCACGCGATTCCCTGAATTTTTAATGCAAAAGTCTGCTTAGGGCATTTCACAGCGACAAAGAAACATGCGGCCGGGACCAAATAAATGTATTAATCTTTCTTGGCATCCTTTTTCGGCTTTTTTTAGTCGAAATTTCTTGTCCATAATTTGAGTGTGTAAGTTACTATTACCTGAGGGACCCAGCATTGCAAAAATTTTAGGTACGGCTAAAAGGCAGTACAGGACGAATGCCTGAACAGAAGTTCTTAAAGCATTCTCGGGTCATTTTTCCCTCAGCTTAGGTTTCGGTCATCTAATTTACACTTCCTAGGCTGCATATTCATGTGGTTCAAAAGGCATTACGATCCACTCAAGTTTTCGAAGGCCTCGTCACGCCTTTCGACTACTAGAGAACCGATTTCCTTGAAAGATCCCATTTGTCTAGTCGACTGATGGGTGAAACCAACGAAAGCGGTGATGAGTAAATGCAGTCCATAGGAATCACACAACGGACAGATAGACTGAGACTTTACTCAGTTTCTCATGCGATCGCGTTCATGCATCCACGCAGTTACATTTGGTTTAACTAGCCATATTTAGACACTTTCGTCTCTGTGACCAATATTCGAATCACACCGCTGTCAACTGCAATTTACCCATCTCTATGCTATCGGTGAACGCAAGAGGCATTTGGAACCACTTTATTTGGGATGCCTTTGTTTTCACCACACTGTGTCGGTGGCTTGGATTTACGGTCAGGGAAACAGTTGTGCTGTTGTGAATGTTGTCATATGAGAGCTAATCAACTGTCATTATCTTTCTAGTCGACAACAGTTAAGGTAAGGACAACCGGGCCAAGAAGTTTTTTGTAGGATGAGCGCTGTTATCGTCCTCCTTACTGAATTCCGGCTGGTCTGTAATCAAACCTAATTACTGTGACGTGTAAGGTCATATGTGAATTGCTTAGCGTAGCGTGTCCTTATGTTCACTCAAAAGCCGAAATAAAGGCTACTATTGTCCAATACCGATTGTTATCGTCAATCACAAAGTGGGACGTTGTTTTTGTCGGACTGCACCATTTTCCGTTGGAGGTTTCATAATTTACTGGTAAATGGGATACGGTGATTCATCTTTCGTTACATCGTCCTGTGGGAGCAATTGCGACCCATGGCCAGCTCCACATCCATGGTTGTATTATGCCACGTTTGTTCGAAAACGTTGCACCTCTTTTTGGTATTTTCGGTGATAACTTTTCCACTCATTCTACGTTGATCGACCTGCTATCATAATCAGCGCTTGAAAAACTCCTTACTGCAAATACGAGGGCCTTCCGGATTTTGATTCTCCATATTGCCTCACTTTGAGGGGATTTCTGTTTGTTGAGAACCGTAGGGAAATTGTGTGACTATACCCAATGACCAAGATAGGGGACAATCTCACGACTCTGTGAGAAAAAGATACCATTGCTCCTTCATTGATTTATTCACCTACCTCCTCTACTGCGGATACACGTATCTTCTCCAGCCGAATTTTATTTTGCCGTCAAGCAGTTACTTACTGTCTTCCATTCAGTCTATTTATCACCTTGCTACACTGTTCGTCCTAACTCACCGCCGACTGATCTGTGATTCTCGGCATTGCTTCCTACCACTCTTTCATTTACACTTAGTCTTTCCTCAGCGTCTTGGCATCTTACGGCTATGTTCCGCCCTGATGATCCCCGGGAGGACGGCGTCATCACGTGGTGCAGAAAGTTGCCTGGTCAAATTGGTATCCGAGCTGATCTCTTCTATGCCGTTCTTGTCCGAACCATTTAGTCCAGATCTGTCAGCCATGCTTTCTCGAAACAGCACACCGTGGTATCCGTCGTTGGACAGTGGAGGGGATTTGACACAAACCAATGAGGTGGTTCTCACACAGCCATATACGATTTGGCAAACCGAAAGTCGTTTTGGCGACCACCGCAAATCCTCTTATTCGACCAAGCTTCAGCTGCCCGCTGGAACTCATGGAATCATTCGGTCAGGTATGAGATAGGATTTCGTACTTCTGCTTGGTGGGTCTGTCTATGACCTCGAATGTTTTCAACATATTACCAGTACTGTCAATTCCGTCCACATAACTTCTTTCAAACTTTTGCTGTAATACGCTGCATCTAGCTTCTACAACAGGCGTCCCGGATCCAGGTATTTCGCAGACTACCGGTGTGCACGCTTGGTGATTGGCTGCAACGTTTCCAGCGGCGGACGCCGAATACTCGACCATTCGGTGTTGGATTTGATTTGGCTCACATGGAACTGTTCATAGACCCTTTCTCACTGATTTGTTTTCCGATTTCCGAGGGATATGCCTGTACTTTGTACTATGCAACCACCTTGCTGTTAGGATGATCCGCAAATAACAATAGTCAAACTCTTCAAACTGTAGAAGCGCTATTCTGGATTCTCTTCATTCTCGTTTGAACTGTCCTTTCCCTGTCCTGGAGCGATTATTCCGGTGAACAGATATCAAAGAAGGGAAGTATTGGATTCTGGTTTCGCTCTTATCAAAGCTCATCAGCAGTGTACCATCAGTTGGATGAATTAAAAACCCACGTTTAAGGAGTGTTACTCTCGAGACCAATCACAGTGAGATACTGCACTCAAAGGCTGTGTATAACGGGACAATGTCGTCTCGCAGTTAAAGTCGGATATCTGTAGGCTAATGCTTATTTTCACTCCTCGATGATCTCGACCGCTGGAGTGGTTGAAGAAAACGAGGTAGCGAACATTCCTCCTGTATTGCACCATCATAAACCCCGACTCGGGCTTTGGTGGTGAAGTGTTTTGCTGTCATCAAGTCTACCAACCTTTTGTTAACCTTTGGGATCCACAAGCTGATAAGGGTTCTTGTGAACTAATGGAACTCAAGCTGAGATTACGGTATTAGCTGAAAGTTGGCCGTATGATAAACAAACCCTCTACCTGGGCGTTATCCACCTTGCTTAGGAGGAGTGCGCGGTGCGTTGGACGCATGCACGCATAATCTGTCCATGGAGGAATTATAGATATGAATTAACTGACCCACTGCCTACTGGTTTGCAGGATTCTGAGTAAAGATCAAGCAGCTATCCTTATTACGTTGGTTTGGATTCTCGTGGCAGGGGGGCGAGATAGGTAAAGTGTTTGGGGTGCGAATTTACTGATCGGAAGGTCCGTGGTTCGAACCCGACCTCTGCCTCCCCTGTCTAGGCTTGGGCAACCTGACAGTATTCCAGCCCTCATGCACCCTTTGGGTGACGTGGCAGCTAGGCATCGAAAGGGTACTACAGCTGAACAATTACGGGTGCTACAGCTTAACAATTATTTTTCACTTCTCGCGACGAATTTCAGATTTTAAAACATCTGTCTTCACTGCCCACAACCTATCTACCCGAGCCATTCAAGGACTCAGTGGTCCTCGCACATGAGTGCATGTCTCTTGTGTGGTACTATGCGATCCCTCGAGTGAAGTCTTCGGTGCTATTTATCGGGTTCTCCTAGAGCAAATTATATGCGCTTAAGTTGGTATTTTGCTAACCAGAACAAGATGTTCTGCAAGCTGATGGCATTCGAGTTGCGCTTTGCTGATTCGGTAGTAGCCACGTGTTGTGGGTTCTCAGATTTTCCTACTCATCTCACATACATCTTCAGATCCCTCAAGAGAAACCAGTTGATGTCATCCTTATCAACTAACCCTGTTTAATTTTTGCGCATCTATCCCCCCTCACTCCATATTCTACTTGTTTATTTTGACAGATTTGGGTTTGGTTATTTGGAAATACGAGCACTCCGTTTGGCAAGTGCTGGAATGCGAAATTCAACAGACATGGAGCGTGTTTGACTCCGTCTACAGAACTGAGTTCGAATTGATAGGACTGTCGCATTCGCAATCTTTTGCTGGATCTTTAGATGATCATCAGGCGCGACTGTATACTCGACTACTGCGGCTATTTGAATTCGTTTGTTTTGTCAATTCTTGTGTGCAAGTAAGTTGGCGTCATCCTACTCATCCGTTTCATCCCTTCAGTTTTTCAGTCATTCACCACACACTAAGATCGTCTTATTTCTTGGTATTTGCTAGGCCGACGTCCACTTACCGTTTTGTCTTCGCGTGATGGGACAACTGTGGCAATTACTCATTCATATCCTCGACCTGGCAAGCGAAAGGCAGCTTGAAACCAGGCGATTGCCTAAGGATTCTGAGGCAGATAGTAGAATTCATCGATTGCTACTAAATCGGTTGTTACCAACCATGGTGCGTTTATGGGGCGCGGTAATGAACAACCTGTCGAATGGGGGGTCGACCCGTCTTTTTGAGAATCACACAGACCTATGGGGACGCCTTTTCGGGGATCATGCAACCCTCTTCCCTGGAGTTCTTTATGCTCGGAATGTTCAGTCCACCAAGTGAGTAATTTTTTCGACTGCATTTTCGTTTCTACACTTCCTGTACGACGGGACGCTACAGATAGACCGGTTTCTACATCTGTTCTTCTAGGACCCAACTCAACCTGACCACATCGCACATCACCAAACAGTTTGCGGAAATGAAAACTAGTCTACTTGACGCCGGACGGCCGTCGAATACAGTTCTTTCTTTTGAGCTTCTCATCGCTTACCTTGACTTTGTTTCCGGCCTGCTAGCTCTGACCAAATGGTACAGTGGTGCTTTCGCAGATCCAGCTGAAGTATCACCGATAGACAATGGTATGGAACTGCTGAGAGGCGCCGTTTTGTTCGTTGTGCAACACTTACTTCCGGACTTGCTTCATCCAGACAAATGGATTCATTTTTTGGGTACATCCAAGAATTCATTTGGTCTCCACTGTTTGGGTAAGTTGTCGAGGTTTATGTACACTTGTTCCAATTTTCTGTCTGTTTGAACTTGTATGTCCCTGTTTGATGGCGCTTATGGCATTTGCAATTAAATTCATGGGATAATTAGACTTAAGCCCGATTCTCAACAGACTCTTAGCCCACCTGTTTAACTCAGTCGCATCGCCGTTTGGTCTGTCCACCTACGGTTTGGATAATAAATCTATCACTGTTAAAACTCGGTTAAATTGTGATATACGGCCATCTTATATTCCCTCGTTATTTTCATGTTTCGTGGGGGCGAGATGACTCAAGTGGCTAGAGCGCGAATTTACTGACAGGAAGGTCCGTGGTTCGAACCCAACCTCTGCCTTTCGATTTCCCCTGTCTAAGCTTGGGCAACCTGACAGTATCCCAGCCCTCATGCTTCCTTCGGGTAGCATGGCAGTTAAGCACCGAAAGTCTGCTACAGCCGAACGATTTTTCTATGTTTCGTGGCTAATCTGAACGCCCAATTTTCCGCACATTTTTGTTGCATCGGTCAGCGGCTTTGTTACTCGATCAGCCGAGCAACATATAGCTTCTATTTTTGATTCTACTGTTATGTGACGCCAATGTCAAACGGTTACTCATCCATGTGTGACTCAGAGGTACTCCATGGTCCACTTGCCATAAATAGCAGCTTTGACCTCTCCCTACCATTAAGGGACACATTCTTGCTCATTCCCAACTAGTTTGTAGATATGCAGTTCTTAACTTCTGACTTCGTTTTGAGCGACAGTATCACATGAAATTAAGACAAACTTATAGTACACTTGCAGAACACTATTGCTTTATTTGTCCAAGATTCGCGGATGGATTACTAATCGCCCCCAAGTAGTCACATTCGAGGAATTATCAGCAGCCTTATGATGATTGCCTCTTGTGAGGATGATTGTATTCCGTTTTTAACATGTTACTGGCATTCACATCCAGTGATCATGAAATGGCACTACTGGATCGTGTCACCGAACTCCTTTGGACGTTGTTTCCCATTGGACTTTAGTGTGCGTCGTGTTGCAATGAAAAAATCACTTTGACGCGCATCTCCGAGGACAGTGCAACAGGGTTTCGTGACAGAACAACAAATTCGCGGTAGGCAAAATGCCTAGTCGGCACTGGGGTCTTCTCGGATTCAGGCGTCTTTCAAATGGTTCGTTTGGAGCTTTCGCGTGCAGCGGACGATTTTAGTACCTATCTATTCACCATCACCCGTTTACTTCTAGTTGCTCAGACTAGGCTATTCGTTCTGCTAAAGTCTGCCTATTGTAATGGTTTTTATTCCGCAAGCGGTTTAACACTTTTCTGCGTGGAATACTAGTTTTTTTCTACACTTGGATTGACCATATTTCGGTAATAATCAGCATTGCTGTGTTGGACAAGAGTATTCCGCCTCATTCATTGCTCCATGGAATCCTTTGCTAGTTGTTTAGTCTGGCGTTATTTTCATAAATCCCCATAAATTCATATTTCGTTTTTTGGCTTATCTGACGAGATCCCATCTAACAATATACTGGGGTTTCATTCGTTTCAGAACTCGATACCCATACATACCTTGCATAAGGATCGACATTCAAACTCGTTACTCCTACTTGACTTCGATCATCGTTGCACGACCTTTAGACGGCGCATCGCTAATCTTCTCCCCCCACGCACACACGATTCTGCGCTTCAGTATATTACTACTGTGTTGCCATAGTTAGTGGTTTGGCAGTCGTTGTGCTCGCACAAATACCTAACTGGAAAAGCTCTGTCAAGCCGTAGACAGGTTCGGGCATCAGTCGACAGTAGCGGACTATAGTGTTCAGATATAACAAAACGGGACTGTCCACGATTGGCTGATAAAAAACTTAGCGACCCTGCCCACACGGTTGTTGCAGTCTGGGGCCCAGTATCCAAACTCCCGATAGTTCGACAGGACAAAATAAGTTATCCTACTTGTCCGTGTATGTAGTTAATGAATAAGCTCTTCTTTTTCTTCCTATCATCACTGGGCCAAGAAATGGGCAGCAGATTTTTGGGGAGTGGAACTTCCCACGGACTTGTATGAGGAATAAAATATGTTAGGCTCGATCGTTGATCACATTTGCGGCAATTCACATCGTTGCAGACCGAGATTACTCATTATTTAAACGGCTATTGGAATATGACTCAATAGGTTGGAAATCCACTGAGTTGTTTATCCCACCCTTTCTCATACTCTCGTACTCATACTCTGTTCCTTTCTAGCTGAACGTTGTCTCATCTTGTTGACCGATCTACTAACAACCAGCTGTTTGGATTCCGACTCTTTGGAGAACCTTGATCTTCTATCGTCTGATGCCGTACATGAGGCACTACAGTCCACGGGAAAGATTCATCCGATTGGAAAACTTCGTCAGTTCGCATTGCACCTACTGCTTAACAATAGATCGGCTCTGGATAGTTTACTTGCTCTGTCTTCTATTCCTGTCCGCTTACTCCTTGTTCGATACAAAACCTTGGAGAATGGGTGAGTTGGTGCGTAGGGTGACCCGTTGTTTCTCACTTTCTAGCTTTCGACACGGTCGTCCATTTTCTTTCCCACGTGACCCGCCTAATAGTTCCATGAACTTCATCTTGAACAGCCCGTGGTCTGTCTCTCTTTTTCATATTCCACTAGCTGATATACATCCACGAGACAAAGATTAACAAATTCGTCGTCTGGACGTGACTCCCCAGCTTTTAACCTTTTCTAATGCCGGAAAATGACAATCTTATTCTGCTACTCGCTGTCACAAAGTAGTCAAACAGGTTTACGACTTACAACCCAAACTAAGCTGCTGAAATTGCCCACTGGCCCACACTCTACCTCAAAGGGAACACACGCACGCTGTGGGCAAAACACGGTCACTCCTGTCAACTCCCAAGAAGATTGTTCAATAGGTATAAAGGCAGGAGCAGAGAGTATGCCACAATGTTATGGGCTAATCTATGTGTTTTGGGGACTGTGTCCTGACCTGACGGACCATTGGGTTGCTGTTGATGAATGCCGACAAGTCATTCTGATTGTATACGGTCTTTACATTTGGAGCGCAGGTGATCTGAGTCTTTGTCTGCCGATTGCGTTTTCCTTGTGGTTTTCATGTACCGGACAAAAACTGTCTGGGACAGGAACATTCTTTCATCACTAATAATCTGCGGTGTTCCGACCCAACTATTTGAGCACACGGTGTAGACGTTTCGAACCACTCTGAGTAAGACACAATTTTCTGTGTTCAATATTGTATTGAGTCGGTCTACCCAGTCTCGTGCTAACATTTTGCACGGATGAGCATGCCTAAACAAGTAACTGAGGTTGCCATATACTTAAGCTGTTGTAAATACACCGAAAGCGAGTTCGCTAATATGGTGTGATACTGGAACCACTATGGGTAATGCGAATCCGGATCCCGGACACCGAGGTTTCAGTCACTTTAGTTTTGGCGAAGTCATGATGAGCTAGTTTGAGACGCTCCTGAATGCATACGTTCTACCTATCGTCTTCATACTCCTTATCACCTATGATACCGTTGACGAACACAGGTACTTCACCGCCTTACAACCATGTAGGTTAGTTAGAAAGAGGTCTATAGCGAAAAAAGGACAATGTGTTAGCTAACAGCGGTTTGTGATAATTTTTCTGAGGTGCATACACCTTCAAATGCCTACTCAGACAATCTCTGATGCACTGCAGTTCGTGTGAACACCGGAAAATAAGTTTTTTTCTACTAAGACCTTGCACATTCTGGTTGTCGGTGTTTGAATTAATGTTAGAACGTCTGAGCATTCCTGATGGGCTAGTAGGCAGCCCCTCTATCATCTCTAATTGCTGTTCATTTCACATCACAAGTATTGGCCTCTTTGTCTTCCTCAGGCTCATCATTACCACAGCGAATGGGCAGTCCAATGCGTGCGTAAACTCCCACGGTGGACGTATGGCTCGAACTACTTGGCTAGCGATTATTCTTGTGCATCATCTGCTGAATTTGGAATATGCTTGGTACACTCGACACTCAGGTTCCAGCTTCTCCAATCCAGTCCAACCTCTCCTCAGTGAGATTCGACGTCGAGTGAACCCGTCTACAAGAGAGCATTATGTTGCCACCCTGTTTCATTACATCTACTATCCGTACAATGTTGGTCTGTCGCGAGCTGCCGTAACTCTGCTGAAGTGGATAATTCAGGTTGGTCCTTGTTATTATACATTCAAACTATATACCAAGCATCGAGCTCTCATGTGTTTTTTCTTTCTCCTCAATAAACTTAATGTGTAACCTGTGTGAGCGTGAATGGTACACTAAGTAGCCCACTGAAACAATGCTTATTCACATACGGAAGAAACATCAGTGCCGTTTTTCTTCGAATTGGAAGGATCTAGAAAAAATTCGCTAGTATCTTAAAAGGTCCAATCTGGACTGCAGTTTTTGTGTTCAGATTTTCGATTCTGATTTCACATTCGAACAATTTATTCGCTTCGCACCGATTGAGCTGTGTTTTGCACCTCTTTCCCAATTTCAGTACTCAGATATGAACGTGGTCGAATCGCTCGGTGATCAAACTTCCTTTGTTCGCTCTATTTGTTTTCAACGATTGGTCTCGTCCACTGATGATCAGCTTACGAGGGCCTGTCTGTTCGACTTAATTGCAGAATCCGTACTGTGTTGTGGTGAATTCCAGGATAACAATAGTCAGTCATCGGCGCGAAGACCAACCGGATTCCTCCGTCTACTCATTTCCAGTCCGCCTGTTAGTAGAGGTGCGCAAGAAGATCACTGGCTTGGCCTGATGCCGCTGGATGCAGCTGAGAAAGAACAGCAAAAGCCGGACTTGTTCAAATGCTGTCTTGCTGTACTAAAGGATGCCCGGGTATTTTTTTTTACAGTAGTTGGCTTATTGTCATCGATCTATGAGGTTTTTCTTCATATGGACCATGTTTCACTGAGCAGTTATGTGGATGTCCTGCCTTATTTTACTTCAGGACAAATCCAAAGAAGGATCCGTCGACCAGATTACAAGCCTGTGTCTCCGAAACGTGTGCAAACTGATTTCTGCCTTCTATCTTCAAGATCTACAATCATGTATCGACACAGTGAAAAAAGAGTGAGTGTTTTTTGTCACATTCCAGTCGCTCATGGCAGATGGCCTACATCAGTTTTCTCAATCGACGGCCCGCGATTTCCGAATAAGCAGTGAAGTATGGTTCATGTCAGGCGAAAACTATTGTGGATAATTTCGAAGTTTGGTTGATCTGTTTGACAGTATGTGTAGACTACCGGACCAGCACTGGTTAAGTTGTGAGCGAAAGGGGACTAGAAAATGAGTGCAACGGGACTGGTCTGTCCCAAATACAGTAGCTCAACCTAAAACGATGCCTGTATTGGTTGTTGATCAGGTGGCTGTTGATCTGTTCGCTGAGCTTGGCAATTGACTTACAAATACTTCGTCACCGTACGAGGAGACATCATCAGTGCGCAGTTTGGTGAGTGCACTGCGCACTGGCGATGTCTCCTCGTATGGTGACGTAACGTTTGCATGTCAGTTGCCTAGCTCGGTGCACAGGTAATTGGCCACCTGATCAATAACTAATATACTCATATATATTTGTAATGTACTACTCATAAGGTTGCTGAAAATCCGTCGACAGCCCACGACCGGTTTCGCCTTTTTTGGGGCTCATCAGGTAGGCAAAGTCCCCGGGTTTCCGCCAACCTTATGTCCTACTTGAAACCCAATTGCACGAAATTAGCAAATACACACTCATTTGCAAACTAATTTGTTTTTTTTCGAGAGACTCACCTGGAACCCAGCTAAATCTCTCGTTTGTGATGTTTTCAGGCAACTGAATGTGCTGCACCTAACTAATATACTCACATGAGCTACCAATGTTTCGACATATTACCGATATCTGTATTGCATGAAATGGGGGTCAGACGGTCGAAATACCGTGTTTCATAAATGAGCACTGAAAAAAGGGCAAGCCGCAAGGTCATAAATGCATATCAGTTGACAGTAAAAATAACTTAGCAAGCGGGATGTTTCGGAAAGTCGCTCTGTGGATGAAAAATAGTGCTTAAAACGTATGCGCAATCACAGCTGCTACCCAGTAGGTATTATCATTTTGTCATCTGATTCGACCATTTGAAGTGCCATCCTGGTTAGACTATGTTTGAGGGGATTTTATCAAGGGTTAGCGTTACGGCTTCTCTCGTTTTCTTTCATTTTCGCTCGTTTATTTTCACATGATGTCCATAATGGGTATCCTCCTAGACGTATTTTTGGCAACCATACGTGTCGTTGTTTTGACCTTAAAACTACTTCATTCTAGTTCGTATTCTTTTCTACCACTTAGGCCAAACTTCTGGGAACTAGTCACTTTCCCGTTGATGAATTTCCTCCGTACGGCCAGAAACAACGAAAAGGTATGCCTCTTCTCCGTCTTTTGAACCGGTGTGTTATTCGCAACGTAGCAAAACATTTAATCCATTGGTACGTGTACTCTCCACTCGGGCTTTATTTCAGGTGGACTTGTCAAACGTGGAGAATGAACTGTTCGGTCACATTGTTAGCATATTGGCTCTGGAGCTCTTCAACACAATCTTGTAAGTCATGATTCCTTGCATCATCATCTTTAAATATACGCTTTTGGTTGATCTAACTGAGGAGGATTGTGTGGAACGTGGTCTACAGACAATCGAAGCGAGATCTGTAGTCAATTTCATGACGCCCATGGCTATTCGGAGTCAAATCCAAATTTACTCTCTCATTAGCCTAATCAGATGGCCCTGGCGCTCACTATATGCATCATCACTATCTTCAACAGGAAAGCAATACGCACAGATGACGTACTGTCATACATCTATGAAATGAAGGACTATTTAGTAAATGGTTGAGAAAGCTTCGGAAAACGATCCATTATTTCGAGGTGAGACGCCATCAGTTGGACTGATCCAATATTGTTTGCGAAACACACTTGACACGAGTCCGATGCACAACCACGGACGTGCTAGGCCATCAGAACATGCTAGCCTGGCGCATCAGTTACATACCACACTCTGTGGAGTTTCGACCCCCTCGAATTGGAATCATGTGGACCCCAACCTAGAGGTGTGGAAAGTCCAAACTACTCATCCTAACAGCCGCTGCTTCGCCTTATCACGGTCTGTTCCAAACGCGATGGGTGGAGAAGAGTGTTCCTTTTGTTGTGATATGATTAGACCGATGCAGTACATATTCCAACTACCTTAACCTGATCCTCTTCATTTCTATCGGTTTATTGATTAAAATTCGCCACAAATTATTCACTTGCGCACCGTTGCGTTGTTCGGATGTTCGGAGTTATCGTCCACAGTCTTCGGACGGGGGAGACCAGTTTCAGTGAACATAAATTAAAAATTAACTTTGATCCTTTGGATTCTTTGAGATTTGTTATACTGACGCAAGTTGGGAAACTTTGTCCGCATCCAGACAAAAAGCAGAAGGGAACTTGGTAGGTCTTGAGATAAGATGATAATCGTCAAAGAACGAAGCAATGTCATGGTTCTAGTCCACTAGATGTATCTGGATACCACGGTTTACGGTCACTTGACGTTCATGTTCTATGGTGATGCTGATGATGAATTTCAACAAAAAAGAAGAACCGACCTTGCCGAATATCACTTGTGGGAAAGCTTGGTGACAGCCATTCCTAACCCCTTACAACACTGTGTGTGTATGTTCCTTTCCAGAGTTGACTTCTCTACAAATATGAAGGCCTCTCTTCGGACTTGTATTCCTTTGTTAACAGCAGAATGGTTCAACAATCGTTTTGAATGTTTCACTTGTTTATTCATCCACATTTTCTCCCTGGTACTTCTCAAAGGATGCTGTTTGTCGGGTTTCAGTGACAAAATAATGTCAATACTGTTTCCGTTTTTTTCGGCTCATATTGGTCGAACAATTCGTATCCTATGCGACGGTAGCGAAGCATTAATGTTGAACATTGATGTTATACTGTCCATGATGACGCTGGCTTTTTTCATTGAGGAATGACCAGATAGTAGAAATGACTATTATCTGCAGTGTCCGCACGAGTCACTTCGTTATCGTGTGTCATCGTATGGCGCCTCGATGTGGCCAAGTGAAATTACGAATAGCAACACATGGTTTGGCCCCATGATGTACCTCGGATCGCCTGACTACTTGTCAGCTATCTGCATCGCCATGATGTTATCGAGGTTTTACTTTAGTGAACGACTTGGAACCATGGCCACGGACGCAATATGTTATGTTACACAATTATGGGGCTATTCCTTCACTGTTGCCAGTCACAGCCACGTAAGAAAATGCACATTCCACAATGTGAAACTACAGCCAACAAGGTAGTTTTGTTCACCACTCGCTTGAACGGCCGTCATCGTGTCCTTGTGCAATTATTCTGGTGAGTTCATACCAAAGGGGGCAGCACTGCATATCCTTCACCGTGCCGTGTTTTGAACCTCGGAAATCTGACACGTGAAACGTGCGTGTTACTCCTACTCCACCAGTGCACGCTGGACGCATCTGAATTCTCCCTCGTAAACAGGTGAACCTGTTCACATTTGAGCAATGTGAACGATGTAGATTTCTGATGACGCCTAGTCTTAGTGTTCGTTGTATGAACACGTATTGGAATCACATCTTGCTTGCTGAACGGGTGCTCTGGGTGGGTCGGAAACGAACTACTCTGTAGTCCATCATTTTGTCCTCATCTGCTTCAGGTAGATTTCGGATATGATTTTTTTTTCTGATAGTCATTTTCGGGTTAAACTGGTTTTCGTTGGATATCAATCTCAACTAAGAAGTTCACAGTTTCTTGAAAACTCAAGTGAAAACCATCCAAATGACTGTAGTCGTTTAGGCCTATGGCCAATGTATTGTTCTTGTGGGAATATGGTCGCTCGCGGTTCCCAACCGACCTCACTGTTTACCCATCTATTACAGTGCATCTATCTGCCTATCTATCTCAATCCGATCCCAGAAAGAAACCGTGCATTATGTTTCCCCAACGGCTCTCTTGACCTACCTTGAATGTGAAAGTTAGCTCCGGAACCTCCCGGTGTGACTTCTGTGGATGTGTGTTCTAGTCGTTAGTGTATATCGGACGCGTTTGGCCTAATTATTTTAGGAATTAGTGCCTCATGGGGGCAAGATGGACAAAGTGATTAAAGCGCGAATTTACTGACCGGAAGATCTGTGGTTCGAACCCGTCCTCTGCCTCTCGACTCCGTGTCTGTCTAGGTTTGGGCGACCAGCTTTCGAGTCTCCTTCGTGTGGCGTGGCAGCTAGGTACCGAAAAGGGGCTACAGCTGAATGATTTTATTTGTTAGTGTATCATGTACCAAATTATGAGTTTTCATGCTTCGACATTGCGTTGACATTTTTCTTACTCTTTCGGTTGCTTCAGTCAGCAGTGCAATTTCAATTTGGACCAAAGTTTGGATAAAATCTTGTCACAACTGGTTAGACAAAACGCCTACACGTCGTGGTTCAAGGTAAATGATCTCGGTCACATTCTTCTTTCGACGTCAGGTTGTCGACTTTAATTGTTGTTTTCGTCGAACATATGTTGTACTACTGATGGACTGCCTCCAAAGGGAAACACCCAAGCCGACGAAGACAGTTTTGTAGCCCGGTTATTTTTACTGCAATCCGTTCCTGCAGAAGCGCCTACCTGCATTGAACAACAACCCTGCTTCAATACAAATAATCGCGATGAGAGTATCTTTTCTCAGTGATCAGTAGATTTTTGTTCGTCGTCACACCACTCTCGTTTGAACGGTCGTGCTCCTGTTCTGGCGTAATTATTCCGGTGAGTCCACACCAAACAAAGGACACCAAACAAAGGACTCGAGTTTCGCTTTTATTAAGGCTCATCAGCAGTGCAAGTCCAATGGCCGTGCCGGGATCTGAACCCCGGACATCTGACATGCGAGGCGAGCGTTTAACCACCACTCCAGCAACGTACGTTGGACACATCTGAATTGTCGCGTCTGAACAGGCGAACGTGTTCATGCTTGAGCGATGTGATTAGTGTGCCCGAACCATCGAACGACGACCCAGTAACTGTCCTGGTTGTGACGACCGATTGACCCGCCAGTTAGGACTTCCTAGTCAGGTAGCGTGACACACGCTTGAGACCCACTGGGCAACTTTTCGGTTGCATTTTTGGGGGTTTTTGCGGGATAGGTATTTTTGTTCATAGCCACACCACTCTCGTTTGAACGGTAGATTGTCAGTAAAATCAGTAGATTGTCAAGTAAGGCGATTGATGGTGTTACACAACCGCTGCTTCACTCACGTAAAATACCAGTGGTTGTAGTTGACTGCTTGGCCTCTAGGGTGTTTTAACTGAGCCTAATCACTATTAATTGAACGGCTTGACCAGAAACCATAGGTTACGAAGCTAGTAGATTTACTGCAATATAGGTCGACATTTATCCGTTCTTCAGTAGTTGCTGTTTTTTAAATGCATCTTGTGATCGTTGTTCGGAGGTGTTTAGGTAACACAAAAACACTCGTTTATATTTACCCTAGACTGGACGTCTTTGCTAGATTGGGTACCATGAATTATCGCATCAGAATTACAGAACACGCAGATTCATAGCCAAATTTGAATCTTTTGTGTGTGTTTTGACGACAGGGTTCGAACAAGCGTCACGTGTTCGTCCATTCGACACAGACTAGATACTTCAGTGGCTCCTGTGTGAGAAAAATTTCGTAAATTTACTAAATACTAATTTAATTGCGGTTAATAGACAATGGGGCCGCTTGCACGGAAGCGGTCTAGTGACGTTTTGTCTGTAATTTGTGGACAATTTCAAAGGGATGTTGGCAATCCAAGAACCTTCGGGATAAATGATGCCTACAGGTTACCGAGCCCCAGGAGGGGGGTTGTTGTGGCAGTCCCGTTTTTAATACTTGACTCAATAGTTTAGTACATGGAGTGGCAGGAAGAGGAAGGATTTTTTCAGGAATTCTATCCCCAGCATGACCTTCAAAGCGTTTTTTTTTTCGAGGGGTTCTACCCGGACTGACAACCCCGATAGTCTGACCCGTTAGGCTACTGAGGCTGACCTTGTTCGATAGTGTGGGGAATAAGGCATAGATGCATAGATTCAAACGCACACAGATGTGTATAGAGGTGCACCGGGCTCTTGACATGTGCGGATTTTAGGAGTGACTTTTTGTAACCTGTTATTCCTCATGTGAAGGCAGAATCGCTGCTCTCATAGCTATGGGCATATGAGTCGACGAGAAAATGCTTCCGTACTCAATAGTTTAGTACATGGAGTGGCAGGAAGAGGAAGGATTTTTTCAGGAATTCTATCCCCAGCATGACCTTCAAAGCGTTTTTTTTTTCGAGGGGTTCTACCCGGAGCTGACAACCCGATAGTCTGACCCGTTAGGCTACTGAGGCTGACCTTGTTCGATAGTGTGGGGAATAAGGCATAGATGCATAGATTCAAACGCACACAGATGTGTATAGAGGTGCACCGGGCTCTTGACATGTGCGGATTTTAGGAGTGACTTTTTGTAACCTGTTATTCCTCATGTGAAGGCAGAATCGCTGCTCTCATAGCTATGGGCATATGAGTCGACGAGAAAATGCTTCCGTACTCCTATCGCACTCCCTAGATCGCCTCATCACACGGCCGTTCGCCCATGTGTGCGAAGACTAAATATCCGAACCACAAACTAAACTGAGTAATTCCGCAAACACACAAAATCTATCGGAAAAGTGGATTTTCACTATCCAATTTTAGGTTTTTGGGGAGCTGCTCATAGGTGGTTTTTTAGTTATTGAGGAGAAGCTTTTTTGTATCCCATGAATGTCCTGTTATGTGTATTGGGGTAATTTGTCCCAAGGTTACAAGGTTTTGCTTCCGCGGTATCGACTCATACACTGCTGATTGCCTATCAGCTCTCTCAGGATGTTATTCTGCTCGGCTCTGACCGACTCGTGCTCGCTTTGATCCCTCTGTATAGTGTTGTGCACACGTTAGTTCTTGACTGCAAATTGTGTCTTCACACAGCTGGTAGCACACCGTCTGCGACAGCATTCACGCACCATCCCAATCAACACCCGATCGAGCCCAGAATCCCAGACTACTCAGCAGCAGTCAACACAACTCGATGCACTGTATGATGCAACTTGTCGTTGGAAATGTCTTTTGGTTCTACATTTGAAGCTCATCCAAGCCGGGTTCGAGCGACCAGCGACCTCTCTGTCAGAAAGTTCACTTGATGTCAGTCCTATCGTCACGGAACTGCTAACTTGTCTACATTTGCTGGTAAGCTTATGCGTTTCCAATAATTTTGTAAGCATCCGAGATGTTTGATCAGATGTAACATCCCTCCGTACATTGTTTCCCATCATTAAAATGCCTTCCTTTTTTCTTATAGAATGACATTGCCTTCGAATCTGGTACATCAGCTCTGGCTGGACAATTGGGTTCCTGTCTAACGACTGCACTGCAACATCAGACTCAGTAAGTTTGTCACTGTTTGCTCAGACTGAGGCATCATGAACTTTTTGATATTCAATAATGCGTTGAAAGCACAATGCCACTGGCAAAGAAAGCACCAAAGTTCGCAGATCTTTCGTGACGTTGCTGTTTTCGTTGGTTCCAACATGATCTTCGAATTGGGTAATGCTGTGGGACGCGAAAAACGGGCGGCCGTTCGTCCACCCTGCTCACTGTGGCAACTAAATCCGATCGAAGAAATAGTATTTTGAGAGTCTGCTGTAGGTTTGGTCGATGATAAATTGAGTAGCCTAAAAATCCAGCTTAACGGAAGGGCCGGACCGTTTGTCCACTCTCTCAGGCGATGTTTGCTGAATGAATCCTCGTATGATTTTCTTTCTCGCATTGAAGTTTGTCCTGGCTATGTTCTGGGCTAGTTAGAGCGGAATGACTGACTACCTCTGTCCAGATCACCATTTACCGATTGCACTGCGCGTTAATCATCAGCTATTACTCTCCACTTCAAAACGCTGCTGCCTTGCTTCAATATACCCCGGTTTAGTCATTAATTATATGGCTTCTTGAGGGAAAATGGCACCAAACTAAACTGCTTGTATCTGAGAGAACATAGTTGTTAACTCCCGGCTACCCCACGCCTTTTTATGCTCATTCTAACGAGCGCCCCCTGTACACATGCAGTTTTCTACCTTTCAGATGTTTTCTTAAGCAACCCAAAACTCCTCCCACGGATCTGGAGGACCGTCTTGGTCAAGTGCTTTATTTGGTACTCCAGTTCCGACCCGATTCCGACGAACAAACTCAACACATGCACGTAGAGCTGTTGGCAAGTTGTTCTCTGCTCTTGCAAATGACAAAGGACGAAACAGCGATGGCGGATAGACAGAATTCCAAAGGCGATTTCCAGCAGTTACGCCTAGATCTGCTGCACTGTGTGTTCGCTTACATGGCTCCACTTTCGCTTTGTACAAAGTTAACTGTCGCAGATGAACTCGTAAGTTTGCGATACTGTGGTTGCATATCCTCAAGGGAATCGGCTTGGTTTTTCTTTTCCTTTACGTTGATATCCTTTTTGGGTGAGCGCACATCAGGTTACGTCTTTCGTTTTGTATCAGTCCTCATCGATGACAACGCGATCGAGTCGTTCGCTCACTCTTTCTGTGCTTCTTGGTAAGACTCAAACTCTTTCCATTTTCCCCTGTAACATAACTGCTCAACCTCCAAAGAGAGACTCATCTGGAGCGTTTAACCCCCCTGAAGGGGATCGTGTGCCTCGCAGAGCTGTTTTCGCCCAGCCCTGTGCTAAGTAAAAATGACCAAGAGGTGGACAATCTATGGCTTGGCAACTAAGTTTGAAAGCACTGACCAATAAACCGAATCGGATTGACAACCGTCGCCTTCCTGGATGGGGAACCCGAGACTCAACTCATCAGTGGTTAATGACAATGGGGACATGACTCAATCACGCAGTCATTGACGTTCCCGCATCAGAGCTATCATCTTCAACGCGTAGCTTCCAGGTTTCCCGTTCCCTCAGAACGGTATACAGTGCAAATTAGCCGATCATGCTATTGTCTGCAATGTTTTTCATATCTCCCCCGCTCTCCCATTTTCCGGTGATGGATACTGTAGCAGCTGAAACCAACGTGCCCTTCACATGGCTTATAGCTGATAGGCTCAACTGCAATCGATAACAATCGTTCAGCTGTAACACCCTTTCGGCGCGTAGCTGCCATACCACCCGAAGGAAGCACGAGGGCTGGATTACTGCCAGGTTGTCCAATCCTAGGCAGGGGAAGTCGAGAGGCAGAGGTCGGATTCGAACCACGGACCTTCCGATCAGTAAATCTGCGTTCTAACCACCGAGTCATCTTGCCCCCTGGCTCGACTGCATTGATCCTCGGGAAAATCATCCAACTATGGCGGAGATGAAAAAAACCTTATCGGTGTTTTTTCTCTCTCAAAGTGATTATTGTATATTGTTTTGTGTAACGAGGTCCTGAAAACTCAACGGCTAGGCCTATGCTATCAAAAAGGTTGCATAAAATATTCATATTGTATTTCGGCCTTGTCTGTTTATGCTTCGTTTATTGTCACCCGTACGTCTGTAAAGTGCATGGTTTGGAGTATCGTGAAATATTTTTCGCCTCTAAGTTGCTCAAGTTCTTGTTTTATTCGCTGCTTTTAGGCACTTCGTCAGTGCATCAACTTGGTGATGCAACTGTGGACGGTTGTCGGACCCGATCTGGTCTCAGATCGACTGGTGCAGACGGGGATTCTGCATAATCTTCTCCAAACCATGATACAATATTCCAAAGTACGATCCTCACATGTGTTTTGACATTTCCTGTTGTGGCTTCCGCTTCTTTGGGAGAGCATTTTGCTGCAGATGTGCGTTGGAGTGTGCCGCATCTGAACCATTTTTTTTTAATTCAGGAGAATTATATTCCACTTAGAACAGCCTAGCTCAGATGTGAATTTTTAACACCCTACTCTTCCACTTGCTAGTATTCTGTACTACTAACAACGAGCTGTTTTTCGCTTTTTCCTACGTTCACTTCATCATTCTGGTGATTCAAGAACTTAAAGGCGTGTGGTTCGCCTGGCGTTCGCCGTATGAGGAGAGGCGTCCAACCTCCCTCAAGTGTTCAGTTGCTTATGCTATAAACAACTTGCCGCACCCATCAACTTACAGATTCATACAGTTCTGGTTTCGTTTGTCACTGAGGTGAAGCAACGTCCATTTCATGGTTGGTCTGCCTCGTATTTTCTGTTCTCCGATGTTTGGACCACAGATGATCACAACACATTGCTCCTGGCAGACTTTCCTCTATTCTCTCAGATTCTATGTAGGCGCTTAGCTGATATAAAGAGCTTACTTTAACTTGACTGGACTGTGGTTGCCTCCGCCGCCAGCGTTCAACAGTCTGCGCCTAGATCTGCAAACGTAATGCCCGAATTTCTATTCCAACGTCAGATCTGGCAGTGGTGATTACGTCCAATTTGATGACACATTCTTGTTGTCAACTGGCGACCTTGGCACTAACGCCATCCTCGACATGGGCTTCGAAACTTCACATGTCTGAACCAATACGGTCGACGTTCCCAGATATTTCGGATCAGTTTGGCTACACTACGGCAATGTTTAAGAGACCATACTTGCTAGTTGTAACTATTTGCGCTATTCGCTAAGGCTTGGCTTCTGCATACAGCAGCTTGCGCTAACCGAGGAACCACCGAAATCCAGATGGCATAGGTTGTTCATACATTCCGCAGACCGATTTCTATATTTCAGCCCGTTACAGTTGGTGATTTGTTTTTTTTTGTATTCGTTGGTTTTGTACCGTATCTCTTAAGAAATTCGTTCGTCGACTTTTATCATGACCCCCTTACCTTTCAGATGAGGAATGGTGCTTCTCTCTGTCGTGATATATTAAGTCTGGTCAGTATGCTTGCGCTTCCATGTGCAGTTCAGATCCCCTGTATGAATCGTCGTCTCTATCCGGATTTGGACGAATCCCAAACTCTTTTGAACGGTAAAAAGGGGGTGAATGGCAGAAGTGCTCAGTTTTTATTCTCTGGTGCTGAGTTGGTCGCATCCTACGGACCGCTGCTTTCACAAGCGTTGATATGGCCCGGAACCGAAGTTCTTGTACAGTGGATTCGAGAAGATGAAGCCACATTTGCTGTGAGTTGTCCACAAAGCGATTTCTACCTACGCTATCCGCTGGAAGTTTAACTTTCAGAAGGTCACCTGTACTGGTTATCTACCTCGTGTAAACGACGCATATGCCTATTCCCAAGGCTTTATGTAGTGGTCCCTGGTCCTTAAGCTCATTTATGTGGACCAGTCTGTAATTGAAGTCGGTGTATGCCGAGAAGCACGAATCTCCAGATAGGTCTGAACCTTCCGGCTAGTTGTTGAAGTCTGAGCCGTTCAGTTACCACAAACGGCTGGTCAGCATAGTTATTAACTCACACTGAGACATTCAGATCACGTGGTCATGCGTTAACTGAACTCTCGATTCACCATCTCCCAAACCGAAGTTCCACACGTCTAGTGAATTTATCCTTCCTTCGGGCTAATTGTAGACTGACGGTAGTGCAAGGAGGTTTTTTAACGGTTTCAGTAATCCATACTCAAAAGCGTCTGCAGTGATTCTAAACGTTGGATATCTATTTAATGATGAGATGTGTGCATTGATCTATGCACTCCTCTATCGCAAATGAGAAAAGTGATTATCAATATGATGGGTTGTACTGAATTTCCGGATACTTTATCCGAACAGAGTTAGTGGGATTCTGAATGAGATTCGGGCTCACCATTATTTACGTGATATTAATATATGTCGTGTTATCACAATCTGAATTCCACCGCCAATGAAATGTGTGCTAACTTTGGATAGCCATGATGGTTCAAGGCTCTTGAAACACTCCAGTGGTTAAGGCACAAGTTACTAGGCTGGTCGCCTGTAGGGTAAGTCACCCCTTGCTTGTGTGTAGGTTTCAGCAGCCTTGCAGTTCCTCGGCACTCATGGTTCTGTCGCGTTGCACGGTCGAGGTGCACCGAAATGGTGACATGGCTGAGTTAATTTTAAGGTTCCTTTTACCAAGTTTGCCCGTTTTTCCGTGTTTCCGTATTACTATGTAAATCTTCGTTCATTCCTTCATCCAGTTTTTGTTCTATTTTTCCCGATTCATACCCCTAGAGGAGTCTCCGATAGTTTGTTCACTTTCGTTTGTTGTCTTCCTGTTCCCACCCTCCAGATGTCACGCACTTCCCTTCCCGTCAATTCTGATATCTCTCCGTTGTCCGTCAGTCCTAGCGCTGTCCCCTGCTCGATCCCAACCAAGGGAGAATGGACAGCCTTGCTTCTGACACAACTTCGATTCCTCTGTTCTTTGTATGACGCCCTTGGTGGTCTCGCTCATCCTTTCGTTGGACAACTTTTACACACTTTCTGCAGTGAGAACTATTCTCAATTTGAGGCTTTGCTCACTCTATGGTCTGAGTCGCTTTACAACGGTGCTTTGTTGACCCCCACATTGCAAAGACCGTTGCCACCGACAGCCTCCTTGTTGCGTGAAGGACTGTTGTCTCCCTCTCGGATCCAACTGGCCGAAAGCTTGTGTGCTCTTTTATGGCGTGTACTCCTGTCCGGACAGTCACTTGGCATAAGCCCAGTGACTTCGGGATCCGGTCTTCCGACACTTGGCATGAATGTGCTGTTCCGTTCCGATTCCAGAGCAAACGAGAATCTGTCAGCTGATACGGTACGTCAAATGATATGAATCCCAAATTTTCCTGCTTGAATCTTTCGAATGCTGATGTTCGTTGCGTTGCAGCTCATCGAACTAATCCCCGTCGGTCTAATTATTTGCCCTTACAGACGTATAAACTCCGGTATGTAAGCAGGCTTCAAATTCGATAACATTATTAAATGAACCGTGCATGTCCTATCGTTCACGATACTTTACTGCTGCTTCGTTCGATTAGGAATATCTCTTCAGGCAATCTTGTTTATTGAACCTTCTCACCAGTTAAGAACACATAAGTTTGTGAGCCATTGTTTGTCCGACTTGTCCCAGTTGAGCTTCAGGGCTACACGCTTATAAATGTGAATTTCCTAGGGTAATTGGCCGGACAACGTGAGTTTCGGCTGATTATTTGACTACTTCCTAGAATGTGTAAAGCACTGCGCCTAAGCACAGTTTTCATTATAAGTGTGGGAAACTTGTTTACGCTGTCTCATGGATTTTATCTCCAAACCAATAGTGTCGCGAAGTTCGGATTACTATTCGTGGTTACCTCAGGGCCTTTGTTCTCAGTTGCCTTGAAGAATCTGTTTAGCCCTTGTGAAATCACCACGTTAGTCTCACCACACCTCGGTATTGAGGGTGACGATGACCGTTCATAGTCAACTTTTCGAACAATGTGAAAGTCCATATCACTTGTTGCTTTATCCACTCTAGATACGCTATGCGGCATCGTACGGACCAGCATCCTCTCCACAATTTGCTGCCGCAGTTTTCTCCATGGCTGAGTTTCAGATTCATGTGTGCACTGTCCTATTTGAACGTCCTGGCTTTCGGCCAGGAGCCAAGACCTTAGTGGGCGGAACTCCGAACCACACCCCATCGAAATCTACTCAGATGTCCGACGCACGAAGCCGTTCGACGGCGTCCCCGTCCCGACCACTCACACCACTGCGGAAGGCAGGTTTGGATAGCCCATTGTTCCCTACTACAGATGCGTCAGCAATGACGACTGGAAGTGACTGTACGGGAGAGGCAGAGCTCGAGTGCCTAGTTCGACATTTGGTCACTTCCCTTAGCCTTCTCATAATTCAGTTACCTTCATTGGGCTATTTGAGCCTACTGAGTGTGAGTTTTTGTACTTCTTTATTCTTTCATCTGATGAGTTCGATGTTGTTTCCTAGGTTAATTGCTCAGTTTGTGCATTTTCGCGCAAACATATCCGATGGCAGAGAGTAAGGGAACCTTTTGAAATAACATAGCACTAGCGTGTTGAAATACGTTTGACATCCCACCTAGTACGGTATATCAAACTTACAACTGGCGGAACAAAAGACAAGCCCCGTATCCCGGCTAATGTCGGCTTATGGCTTGCTCACTCCAAATAGTCCTAGCTCTCCTGACTTCGCTTTGTTCGTCTGTTGCCACTGTTCCCGCTATTTCAGCTAAAAGGGTTGTCCGGATAATAACTGTGATGTCTTTTGTCGTTTTTTTTTGACAGTGCGAAGAACTGCACGAATTACGAAGTCCCATCCAGTTGGTGTTCAATTCGCCCAACTTAGATGACGGCAGTTTCCGTTTAAGCTTCGGTGGACTGCTCAACCTAGCTCATTCCCTTGGATATTTAATCAGCAAGGTGAATTTCTGTTCGCTTTTTATGATTCGATTTCATTGCTCCCTCCCTTTATTCTATTCTCCGATTGTCTATAGTGACGTATTTTTTATGGTGTCGCACGGATATCTAGTGAACGTTTCTCCGCATCTGATACGAAAGATCTTGACAATCAATTGCACACTTCCATTTAGTATAGTATCTATCTGCTGTATGACCCACCAGCTTTGTGATTCTATTCTCGGTTAGTGGCCACACGTGTTTATTGGCCTCTCTCCATTTCCTAGGTGTGTTCATAAAATCGAAATCTTGAGGCAGTGTTGTACACAACTGAGGTTTGACGACAAGGATAAATGACAAACTAAGAGGATGAGTTAGATTGATTGTTTAAAGTTACCAGAGCTAGTAAGAGGAAGGCATTCCTTCGATGGTCTCGTGAAAACTGCCATTTTCATCCAGATTAGGAAAGCCGGAGCAGCTTTTTGGAACCTGCGTCACCTGTGGCGTATGTGTGACATCAACTTAACCGCCAAAGGTCGAGTTTATAATGCCGCCATACGTTCGATATTACCTTACGGGTCAAAAACCGCTTCGTGCCGAGTACGTCAAAAGGTTTTTAGTGTTTGACCATCTGTGTCTTCGGAGCATTGTCCGCGTCTGGTGGGAACACCGGGTCGGTAATGCTGAAGTACGTCGAATGTTATCCGGAAGAAATAACTCACCCACGATAGATGAACTGATCACACTGCATACGTTGCGCTGGCTTGGCCACGTGCTGTATGCCAGCTGACCGAATCCCTCGCACAACCAAATGAAGGGTGGAAACGAGACAGGGGAGGTCAAATAATGACCTGGCAGCGAACTATAAAAGCCATTACCAGAAAATTTAGCTGCCCTGATCACTGCCGCCTTCCTTGATGGACGCCCCGAGACAGGCCACATCGATGGTTGAAGACATTGTCAGATATGGTCCGGTGGCGCCCTCAGTGGCTCTCATGAATCCAAACTATTGGATTCAACGCATAGCTCCTTTCCCAACCCACTTAACACTCCACTGACAGTATTGTATTTAAGGACCAATTTGCCAGCTCCCTCCTTCAATGCGCAGCTACCTACCCCATCTCCCCGAATCATCGGTGGACGAAACTGTGGGATCTACAGCCACTGTGCGACAAGTATGCAGTTCTTGCGGCTGATAATGATGATGATGAGTAGCAAGTACGAGGTTCTTCTCCGCTAGAAAAGATGAACAACTGACAATCACCGTCAATATACGGATACACCCCAAGCAATTTTCGCGTCTTTTTAATGTGCAGCACGTGTACTGCACAAGGCCGAGATCAGTGAGATCCTTAAATAACTAGAATATGAGATATATTTCAAGAGGTGTATCTCACTTAACATCTCAGCATGAACATGGTTCACTTCAGAGGTTATGACAATATGTCCATTGTTTCACACGGAGAAATTGCATGCAAATAACTGTCGAGGTTGAGCACTGCGTTGTAGAGTAGATTTGGCCCGTCCCAAAAAGCCTCATAAGCTACGCGCTTCCCATTAAGTTGGAAAATGCTTTCATTCATGTGGTGTAGTTTGTCCATTGAACATGCCTGAATCCTGAACGCTTTTGGCGAACCCCAAGTAGGAGACGTGATGGCCGAATGGTCACTGCGTCGTGACCGTTTGTTGTTACTTCACCGTGTGCACTCGCGTCACCTTATGTAAGCATATCTCAGCTCTCTTGTCGACCGCACCAAAGTTCGAATGTCAGAAAACCACGGCCGTCGGACAGTTGTGTGAATTTGACTGCTGTCCGGTCTTTCAGAACCACCATATGCCCTCTCATAAACGCTAAACGTTATATATCCAAACTGTTTTGCGGTTGTCGCCGCAAACCAAAGTGTCTGAAAAATACCCCGATTCAATTTACACGGTTTAGTAGGTATCATTGGTGAACTGCAAACTGTAGTTCACCAATACAATTCTGTATTCGTACCTCAAATTTACCTGACTTTGATTCTGTCTGGCGTAATTCAAAGACACCATACTAAACGCACTTGCCCTACTATTCGACCTTGTGTGCTAGCCGGCTCGGTCCATCTAGAGTGGAGGCATCTGTTAATGAAAGCACGTCTCTAACACTTAGCTCAATGTATTTTACGCGCAACCTGGCGGAGTTAGGTTCCGTCCTAGCGAGTGCTAGTATCCAGTCGGTTGGAATGTATTATGATTCTCCATCCTTGACTGTTTAGCCCAGTTGTCGGTTTTTTTTGTTGAAGCAGCTTTGACAATCGGGTGCATTGGAGAATATTTCAGATAAGGAATTCCAACAATCGCACTCGACACTGTATTACTAGGTTTCTTCTGAGTGTATCTCCTGGTCCACCGTTTCGCGTAAGTGTGTGGTGCTTCTACTGATGTTTTCGCATTTTGTGATCGGAACTCCGTCGTAGGTTGGATAGTTTGGCAATCTTTCTCCCGTAGTGAGCAATTTTTGAACTTTCAACCGAGGTTTCATTCTGCAAATGTGCTGAAAAGGCGAGGAGGAACACTGAGCGATATCCACATTCCACGAACCCGTTGAGAGTTGGTTCCACTCTCAACTGTCCCATTCGGTCGCTGTTGAATCTTACTTGACCTCGTGATAGTTTCCCCGTTCATTTCCTCACTCCGCGTATGTACTTTTGATCTCCAGTTGTTTTGCTTGTCCGTACCCGCCACTCACCTTGCCGCAGTGGCGGTCCTTTTTGACACTTGTGGATTGACATGTGTGAATGTGCGCCGCTGACCTACTTACCCATGCGTGTTCATGTCCCATTTGCCGAGCCTGCCTTGACCTGTTTTCTCACGAGTTCCGTGTGATCGCATACCCAATGAGAAGCACGAGACTGAGCCATCATTCCGCTCGCCGTTGTTTGGTATGCGGACGTTGACTCTGCGCTGTGCCGGTCAGTGACAGACCTGTGAACTTGTTGACGCTGCGGACTTGAACAATTGAAGTTTGTTGTACATGTTTGCTTACCCTTGCGGAAACAGTCCCGTAGAATTACGAACCCAGTCCTTTCCTTTGAGATTCGGGATTGTCGAACCTACGCGTCACTCAAAGTTCCGTATCGGAAACCTCAACACTCACAAATCGTCGATGAATAGCCTGAACGGTCTGTATTTGGACGCGATATAGTGCCACTCTGCGTCGGTGATGAGTGTTTTAGGAATTCTGCTTCAGGATCAACAATCTGCGTTCCAGCTCGGCTGTAAAATTACACCGGAATAAAAAATGACCATTTTTAGACATGTTTTGCCCCGTTGTTTGCTAGGCGGTGTTGATTGATCTTTTCTGTCCCGTTCTAGGTATGCGGTCAAACCAGGCTGGCGGAAGTAACTGGGGCTAACAGAGACAAAAACAGACTAAGGTAGGTTTTCCTAGGCACTGGTTCCTCCTCAATAGAAAAAAACGTTCCCTCCTGCGTGGTGTGTGCTTTCTTTCAGATCTCATTCCCATTTCAGATCACTTCTCGTGCAGGCGCACGAAATGACCGTATCACTTATTTGCTCTCAAGCTACTCTGGTTCTGGCTAGCGCGCAGACATCGCCTTCAGATAAGCAGCTTCTACTCCGCGAACTGTCCGGTGAATTGGTAAGACATTTTTTTCGGGATATTTCTTCTGTATAGGTCAATCTGGTTTGATAAAATGACCCTTTTGACATAAAGGGTTATGGTCAAAGCAATCTGTCGTTGAAGTCCTATGTTTGGGCTGTGAATTGATTTACAGCAGTAAACCAGCCATCCGTACAAAGTAGCTACAGAGGCATTAACTGAAGGAAAATATACGTCAACTCGGCGTATTCCTAGTGAAACCACTGCGGTGCCATCAACAGACTATACATTCTACATTTCAGCTGACATTGAGCTGTCACTAAAAGTTTCCAGGAGTTGTTAGCTGAATCAACTTGGACGCATCATTTCACAGCGGAGCATAACTCACAGAAATGCTCTGGAATTTTAACGCGCATGGATGCGAGCACACTGCTGATTCCACATGAGTGTTCCAACGAGCACAGAACCACGTCAACTGCGCTTGCTTACGTGATGATCAATCTGAGATCATCTACGTGGACAGTTGTTGTCGACGATGTTGGAAGTTCAAACCAGCTAAAAATAGTCCATCCACAAGTTCACCAGCTGATCATCATTATCGTCCCTCACTGTGTCATAGGAGAGAGGATCTCCCAACTTTCTTTCCTGGATGTTTAAACGGCCTGCTTGCCTGTCGGGTTCTCCAACAAGTACAGTAATGTCTGAAGATGCTCACCGGAGAAGTGCATGTAACTGGTCGTGGAAGTCTTCCCTGACCGAACCAGCACCATAGTCTGTCGGTGCGTACGCTTAGTTAACGAACGATAACGTTGTGACGTCGTATAATGGTTACGCCCGCACTGAGCCTGCCAGACTGCGCGATGAGGAGAAGATGGAGAACTCGGGACACGGCTGTATTGTCAGGACAAAACATACAGAGCTTCTGTGCAAATATATCGGATGACTAAGTGGCCAGATATGCTTGTTCACTTGTTCGTTCTGTACAGCCAATGGCGGTGTTCCGGCCGTGAGCAATTTCAGCCCCACTCCACTAGTCTTATGTTGCTAAGCCGTGTTAGGTAAGCTCCGCCAACGCACTTGCTATCCGAAACGTGTCGTACGGATGGTGACCTTGGGGGTGCGTCACTCCCTGCACATGTGCTTTTTTCACGTCTGGGCGCATCTTGACAGGTATATTTTCGGAGTACGATTTCTGTTGACCTTGAGAATCCTCACCACCCGGACAGTGTGGAGTCGACTTCATTCAGCCCGTCGGTTTGGCACGCGATTCACACATCCGCGAGCCGGTTGCTAATGCCACTTCGCCTTCCGATAAGCGTAGCTGAGACGTGACATTTGAGGCTAATGACTGGGATTTTAGGAGGATTGTGGTGCAATCATAGAGAAAAATTCCTGCAAGACAACAAACATCGATGTTGCTCCCAGCTAAGGTGCGGGTTAGTGCTTCTTGTAGTCCAGCTCACCTCAGTTTTATGGTCGGTGAAGCACACAAGAGTAGTTGAACCACGGGTACGAAGTCAGGTCTTGCATTCATTTGTCATCTCGTTCAAAACGTCGCGGTAATAAGGCACAACAGTTCCAAAAACCGAATGCTTCTGATGTTTTTGGAAGTAAAACCATTTTCTGTTTCTATTTATTCTGTTAGTCGTACTGCCATTTACTGTCAGTCGAGTTGCTGTCTGTCAAATCACCATCTCCAGTTCGGTTTTGCGCTTGGGCAGTACCACCTGTCACCCTATCAGGACCGCACGTCTCCATATCCTTAGCCGCCCTCACTAAGTGCGTTGTGCTGCAACCTTCTTGTTTGATTGTTTTCTAGGGACATCTGCTCGGTGACTAACGAGCTGGTGCACTTCTATGATTGTTAAAGAACTATGATTTCTTTTTTTCTTGTTTTTTTTGTTTCTTGTTAAAGCAATTTAATGGGGTGAGATGGCTCAGCGGTTAGAGCTCGGATCTACTGCCCGGAAAGTCCATGGTTCGAACCCGACCTCTGTCCAGCCTTGGGCAACCTGGCAGTATTCCATCCTTCGTGTGGCATGGCATCTAGGCACCGGAAGGATGTTACAGCTGAACCAAGGAACTCAGATATGTGAAGCTCAATTAACGGTCCTTCCTCTAACCTTAATTCGAACCTCCGTAGCCATTGTTCATTATGCTGCGTTTTCGAATGAACTAAGTTTGTCGTGATTTCTGTTGCATTTTGTCCGAGTACAAGGTGAGGTGGATGAATCTAAACTCTTAGATTTCTGACACCGTTCTTTCCGGTTTCTTGTGTCTGCGTTGATGTGCGATGCAAACCGGTGAATGCTGAGCCGGTAACCTCGATAGCTTTCTGTGCTGAGTTTCTACCTCAGTCGCTACCCGAATTCTTGACGCATGCTTACATTCTCGTACGACGTCCCTTCTATTTTCACCACGCAAACAGAAATCCTCCAATGTTTTCGGCCGTCCAGCACGTCGAATTCACAGATCGAGTATGGCACGCTCCTCGCGCAGCCCTAGGAGTCGTTCGTCTAGTGTTGTTCATCAAAGACCTCACGATTCCTCTCCACACACATCGACATCAGTTTCGGTCGTTGGTGCCGCCGTGGCCGAATCTGCACAAGATTCTATGGGTACTAAATTGTGCACTTCTGATCTGACCGCATTTGATTTTGAACAAGCTGTGGACCGTTTTGCCGAGCTACTTCGGTTGACCGTATAAATTGCTCGATGCCATCCCTTGCTCCCACTCTGTTGTTTTATGTCTGCCGGGACCTTTGTATAAAACACCTCGTTTTCACACATGCACTTGAGCGTTTTTTCTCTGCTTTTCTATATTGCGTTTCATAACATTAGATTATATGATATCGGATCGCCACTCGAACCCATAAGTCGGGCATAGGTGAGGAGTTTTTGTGTACTGGACAGCTATGAGGCTATGGAAACACTAGTGTGAATTCAGGCGTGTCCGACGAATGGCATTCGCTACTTGGACTAATCGCGGGAAAGCTGGACAGCCGCTCACGCATGAATACCGTGTAGGCTTGTTGAATTCCTTCGAACAAAGTCAGGTCACGTTAAGTTGCTTACGTGGTTTGACCGGCCAGTGCCAGGGACTATGAAATCCACAGCATCCCAATTCTACAGGTCCCTCAACCACCTACAACTAATTACAGTGTTGGCCGAAAAACTGAACACAGGCCGTTTGGCATGAAACTGGGTTGCACATTTCCACGTGACTTTGAACCTGATCCTTAAGTCTGCTGCCTTCTCGAAAGCCCTTTGTTACCTCAGAGATTCGAGACAGCTTGAGCTTTTTAATTACAGAATTAATGTACATGAAGGTACATCGCCTGTTTCGATTGGTCATTCTAACTCAGACTCATATACGGTTTCGCGTCTTGCTGTCTTGCTGAACTTTTCAGATCCCGGTCGTTTCTTGTCCATATACCCAGCCACTTGCATTGCTAAATGTGGAAACGATAATCGAACCAATATGTCGAACAACACAGATGCGTATGCACGCTTTGCGTATTGGGTCGTCGGTACCGAATTATGAATGCCAAGAATAAGATCGCTTTGTTTATAGCCTCTACAAAACGGTTTAATCACGTGGTTACAAACTGATCGGTGAGTAAGCATAAGAGACTGACACGTTATATCTTGCCATCGGCGGTGTGGTACTGATGAGCCAAATGCGTGCATCCTTTGGAAACCAGTGATTGAGCTATTTATAGGTGAATGCCCCTTCTAATCTGAAACATGAATTAACCTCGCGCATCCTTGTTGATGTGATATTTGAAGAACCTTCGAACCGGTCGTCTGACTCACAACTAACTAGTGCAGATAAATTTGGTTGGTCCAAAACTGATATACAGCTGATATTGCCAACGAATTCATTGCCATCCTGCACAGAGTAAAGGCGCAGTCATCAAACATATTTTTGTATCGCGAGGGCTTAACTCCAGGGACTTCCGAATGTTGAAACCTGATGCTGCAGTCAGGCCAAGTGGGCTTCTAATGGAAAAGCCTACTGGTTGAGTAGGAAAACAGGTGTGTTCTCATCTTGGCCTAATTCTTAAACACAGACGGATCGAAGGTCGATTGGTTGTTCTCCACCGAAGCTTATGGAATTCCGAAAACACAGACCTCATACCGATCCAACTAAATCTTCGCAAAGTAAATTGACGAGGTTGTCGGATGATAGTTTGAGTCCGGTCATTCAGAAAACTGCAAATATAGCACCAAAGGTTTGCCAAACTTAGCTTATCACATGGCACCGACCAATATCAAGAACATGTGTGCATAATAGATCTACACTCACTACTTATCAATATCCCCCGCATCAAACCGTCGGTTTTCAAAACTTGATCCTGCTTTGCACTAATATAGCGTAGGCTTCCGAATTCACCCAGGTAGTGTCCATGACTCTGCTGTGCACACTTCTGATAAACATTTAATGGTTGTGATAGAGAGACACGTGTTGGAGCGCTGTGTCGATAATACACTGGTGATCTCGAGGGGTAAGATCCTAGTCGTGAGGTTTATCCAAAGCCCTTGGGGACAAGACTGCCTCACGTATATGGACTCACCCATTACGCGCAGTTACGACGGATTGGTTGGACGTGATCGGAGAAACGGACGTTTCTCAAGTTTTAATCTTCTCACCGACACGGCGCACTGAGGCTGAGCTATAAATGTATCCTGGGCCGAAATGGATATCCCAACCACTCCAGTAAACAACAATGTGAAACAAAAGAAACCTAACTGTGAGTATATCTAGAAGGACCATATTTACAGAGCTCTTCAAATGGGGTGATTCAAATCGTGGAAGTTTTCAGCAACACTGTGAGTAGTGTGCTACGCCTAGACAACTGAACATCTAGTTGCATCGCTAAAAGTGACATGCGATCCCCTGAAGTTCCGGGTTCTAAACACGCACTGTTTACCGCTGTGTACGTCAGCTCACATGTAACTACGGAGAACGTTACACAAGGCGGACCTATAGGTGTCTCTATTCAAGTAAGAAGGAGCGCGTCTCCCTGTGGGTCCAGAACCTAACAATAAACGAAAACTCGGGACGCTTTCCCATTTTAACTCACATTCTCAGTTTGGCTACGGCCGTTGCAGTGTGTGTCCAAAAGAAACTCGATAGGAACCTTAAGTTACCTTGGGTATAACAAGGTGTTCACTTACTGGTCTCTAATCAAGTGGTTAGGTCTTTTTGCAGAGCCTGTAAAAATTTTCGTTGTTCGTGATTCGAGTAGCTGTGAAATGCGTGCATCTACCAGTACGTCCCCCAGTTGTGTTGTTCGAAACGGTATTCTTTGATCCTGTGAGGAACAGTACAGCTGAGACGTCCTTGACTGACTGCGCTGCTGAACAACGTCGACGACACCTGAAATTTTTTAGCAAACTGTCATCGTCAGCATTATCTTCCCAATGTCCTGTGAGGCCAAAATGTCCCTCAATATCTTCCGTGAAACATGTGCAACAGTCACCTTGATCTCTGTGGCACATGTGTAGCCGGCACATTCACCGGCTCAGCTCAACAGCAACTTCAACAATTGTGCGCAAAATGGATGATAAGGCTTGTACGATTGACGAGAGGTTCCAGTGTACCCTTGGACGGTAAAGTGTATTTGGACAGCCAGCGTTGTTTGAAACGACCGATCGAATACTTTGTTGGACATGTGGTGGTCCTAACGTCTGACTTGACAAGGTCGTAGGCCTTCTGTCGAGTCAGTTGGGCGCTCAGTCTTCGCACAATGGGATAGAATTTTCGAAAGCTGTGACGTGTCCCTGATGAACTAAAGCAATCAGGCAGTTGAGTTCAGAGTACCAGTCCAAACTTTTGAGCCCCATTTAGGCATCTCGGGGTTTCAGCGATGCTGGGAAACTAATCCATGAGACTTTCCTGCAAGAGGTATGATTGCCTCAGTGGATAATGAGATTTGGTGGATGCAAAAATATGAAAGTAGATTAGGATGGTTTTTGTTTTGAGAACATGCGCAACGAAATGACACAAAAGGTTTTGCAGCTAAGATCATTGTGCGGCTAATGGACCCCGATCAGGTCAAGTGGACGGCTTATGTTTTCTACTACTTGAAACTCATTACAGAGTTGAATTTAGTTGAGATAATTTTTGACGTTCCCAGTTTCGCTGTAAACGAAATTTGGGCAATTCGGTTGTATGGGAACGCAGTACCTTTTGCGATATTTAGGGCCATACTTTTACCCGACAGATTTTGCGTTATGCCTCTGTGGAAGTTTATCTCCGAAGACTGACTTTTGTGCCCTTTTGGACGGCATGTTTTGATTTTCGGATTTTTTGTCCGCACCTGAGCACAAATGGTCCCAAATGCACTTACTGCACTCAACACAGAGAACATTTAATCCTCTCCGTTCCCGAACGAACAAGAATCGAGACATGCCATTCAGAACCAAGGCTGGTTCATTGCTTACTGAGATTCTACCTTTACATCCACAACTCCTTTTAATGCGCTAATTCATTCGAACGTTAGTTTAAACTATCCAATGTAGTCATTTTGACTATTCGCAGAAAATGCTTGTTGACCTCCAAGTTCAGTTGTAATACGCACTCATTAGCAAGCTGTCAAAACGAATTCTTACAAATTTTAAGACCAGAGTTTTATTTTGTGTACATACAGATTGCAGCAATAAGCTTACTTGGATTGAAGACCTCAGTGGCACGCAAGAGTGCATGGATGTGATATTATGATGTGCTTTGGAACCTTAATAGAGGAGCAATCCCGATCCCGCCTGTTTGTACCACTTATCCAACGAGAAAGGAAATTTCACATCACAAACAGTTTTTAATACAGAACTGTATGGTCCGGTCACCATAAGTATCCTTTGGAAATCGTTATTCACGGGTGTTTCCGAAAAGGCTGTATGAAACGCGGTCAAGCTGACATTTCATCGAGCCTAAGGACGCATTACGATAATGAAATACCCACATTCATTCACATCAGCCTGTGATAAACACTAAAAAATCATTGCCTCATTTGAACAGGGATAGCAATTTGTATGCCTTGGGATTTATTGTGCTTTTAGCCACTCTCAGTCCCAAATTTCGTATTTAAGTTTGTTTTAGGGGAGTAAAATGCACTAATTTGTGCTCCTTTTGGGGGCACCGGTCTCATGAGGAAACTGACGGCGCATCAGGTTTCCCGTAAAGCCCAATAGTGTGGACAGAATAGTCCATGTGTTTAAGTTCAAAGCGCGACATACAGTCGAAGCGTTGGTGCTTTTCGACTTCGGTTAGAATTCAACCTCGGCAACATGAAAGGCAGAACACTGTGTGTACTGTCCTAGGAACCAGTCATTTCTGCCTCACCGACATCATCTTTTCCCACCAGTCCCAGTCTGCTTGCTCGGTAAACTGATGGTGTCTCAGCATGAATGTCCCATATCTAGGTTTCCAAACCGTTCCACTGATCGGGCGTTTTACGACGGATGGCATGATCACTCGGTCACAAAATTGTTGGTTTCACAAGCATTAAGGACACTGATATGATCTTGGAAGGTTGTGTGGAAATGAAGTGAATGGTCGTTGGTTTGTTAGCTGAGATGGATAAACGATTCATCACCAATCGAGGTGACGTCATCAATGCGTTTTTGAGCGCAGCGATGGGTTGGTGGTTGTACGTTGATTAGTGTTGTGTGCATGTTATTGTACATGCTGCTAGCAGGGGTTGACCTTCGATCACGACTGGTTGTTCGGTTCGCTTGGTTGTTCTGTTATCCTGTGTCCTGATTGATCGATGATCACGTGAATTGTGAGCCTGGCTTCCCATACCCTCGTGCTCTGATCGATGCTGGAGTGACCCCTGTCGTTGACCACCCCGGATTCCGCATTGTAACCTTTGTTGATCCGACTTCCTGGTTTGTGAATCCGATATTTGGCACTTCTTGAGTGTTCCGGTGGAGGAGCGGGTCCTTTGCATGTAGGGGTGCACCGGCTGATCGAATCAGCCGTAGAATACCATGCCTCCAGAAACGTTTGCAATCAAACCGCACAGATCAGCAAACAAACCAACGACCACCTATGCTTCCTGAGCTACCAACATTCTCTTCCATAGCCATGAAGTGAATGTCAGATGCTATGGTTGATCAGATTTCTTATCTTTATTGAACAATCTTCGGTGGCTTATACTGGCTGACCGCCTATCCTAGACAACACTACAAGCCAGTCTCCGGATGCTACTACCTACCGTTCAACTATCCGCTAAACACAAGCGGGCGTGGAATGTAGTGCACATAGCGGTATGAGTTTAAACTATAATTCGAGGCTTAGAATAAGTCATACCGACATTGGGCCACTAAAATCGCTGGAATACTCAGCCGTAACCCTGGGGAACTGATAGAGTGATGACCAATCAAAGCACAACCAACATGAGTGAAATAACGGATGCAAAATATCAAATTACTAACCTCTGAAGGTGATCCAAATTCGCGGCAAATATCAGCCAACCGTGAGCTAGGGTAGGGAACACAGTCGACGACTAAGCCATGCGAGTGTGATGAAGATCCGGTACGGGTATGCTTGTACCGGCCTGTCAAATGTGTTATAGGACACCACAACTGTAACCTGAGCTAATCTCATCAGCAAGCGAGGTATGCGTTCCTCGGTGCGCATATGATGGTAGCATACGAACGCGCTCAACTGTTGTGTATACGCTTGTCTTTGTTTGTCTATGGACATTTCCGTGTGCTCTGACTCGATGGATCGGATGTGCAAGACCTCATCGTGGTATAAGATTACATGACTCCCAATAACGACAAGAACAGCAGCACCGAGAACAAGTTGCGTCTGGCATCTCAACCACTCCAGCGAGAATATCAGTTTTCCTCGGTCAACAAGCTACAACCAAAGCGGACACACGTGATCCACCCCTTTTACTAAGCGCGCGCTTTGTACTCCAATTTCCACTGAGTCAGTCGCTTAGCTCTTTCTCTCTCAGCATCAGTCGCCTGTCGGTAATCTGATAGGTTGCTTAAGTGGGTTGGTTAAACCAAAACCGTACAAATGCAGAGCAGACCTACCACAAAGCTAATTTGCGTCCCAGTTTGGTACGGAAATGTTGTGTTGTCTCGTTGATGGCAATTCACTGCTGCCGATAGCCTGACTACCGAACCAACAAACTATCACTTTGTTAGGAACTATACATATGTCACAAATGGATAATACTGACAAGACTCCAGTCAAGCTTCGGGTTATTGCTAGCCCTCACGCAGACAGCAGTTCAACTAGCGCACCAGATGATATCGCAGTAAGTGAGACTCGGTGTACTTGGTGCCATCGTCCCCGCAGACTGTTTACGACAGAGATTACGTCACACGCGAATTCGGACCTTGGTGAAGCACCAGTTTGCTGTTCACAAATTTGCTTTGATCAACTCCGGAGGGCCCAGTTTAAAAAGCGTCGTTGCAACACAGGATCTTCAGTTCCACTCCCATCTCTAGTAACTTCTGGAAGGCCGCCTTACGTTCCGTATTCCCACCTGGGGACAAACAAAAGTGATAGTAATGTGATCGGAAAGAGCGTTTCACCGGTCCTTTCCCAAACTATGAAGTCAATACCACAAGGAACTCGTCGACGTCTGCCCCGTGTAGCTTCAGCCGATCATCATGCCTCCGCAACTACCTCATCCAAAACGCGGGATATTATGCTAAACTCTAGCTGTTCAGTAGCACAGGAGCAAGGTGTTTTCACTCAAGCCAGTACTGTAACATGTCCTAAACCGAAAACGTTCCTCAACCAAGCTGGATATTCGCAACCCAATTCGGAAGCTACGGAACACGAATGGCCGAAAGTTTCCACCGGAAGTCCATCATTTTCGGCACTCTCGGATCTCCTCTATTTGTGGCTCACATGTGCAGAATCTTCCCAGCCATCCGCAGACCCTTATCCCCCAACATCCAACAGGCTCGGCGAAGTACCTTCAGCTTCGGTAAGTGAAACACAAGCCGAATGCTCACCCGTGATCGTTCCTGTCTTTTTGCCTGTTTTCAAGAACGCTCCGGAGATACTTGATATTCTTCACCGATATGGATTTCACTCACAGTTTGCGTGTCCTCTGAGAAAATCGTATGAAAATGCGTCCACACAAACATCATCTGATGATGACCACTCCTCGTATCATTCCACACGAACGGCGCATATGGACTCTGAAGATAGTGTTCTGGATCTGCGAATTCCAAAACCCTCGGTTGAATTCACTTCGACAACAGCCTCGTCACATCGCAACGCACCAGTACGTTTGGTCCGTTGTGGAACTTGGTATCAAATGTCCAGCGTGAATGGAAAAGCTAAAAAATTGGTGAAATTTTCCCCGATTTCAAGCAAGACCACAGTCCGGAGGAGACGTGGCCAAGTGCATAAATGGCACAACAGAAGTGTGTCGGGCCTTGTGAGAAAAGAACGGGATGTGATAGATTGGTAAACACATTTTACGACATACTTTGCTTTCTCCTAAACGTCACTATAAAGTAGCAATGAATGAGTTGTGTTAGACTTTTTGTTTATATGGCCTCGATAATGACAGGTGTCCAGTGGTGAAGCTGGAGATAGTTTGACATCCATCGACAATCGTAGCCCATTCGACGCCGAACCCGGAAAATAGCTAACATTGTCTGAAAACATAGTTACCGAGAACCGCCCCCCAAATACACAAGTCTCTTTTTGTCAGAACATACAGATAGAAAGCTGTTCCTCAGGCCACCGCTCAAAAAGGACCCGTTCCTCAAGATGCTGTTAATGCGTACAGAATAACAGGCAAAGCACGTTTGTCCTGTCAAATACTGATAACTCCTGGCCAAGCAACAGTGGTTGCTCGAACGGGTGTAAAAATTCAAGCGGAACGAGTATTTTAGGCACCAGTAAACTTATCTTAATTTCGGGCAGTGTTTTTCCTCGTGAATGCCAACGGCAGATGGACCCCATCAGTGGATGATTCTAGGTTCTCAGTCGGGATGTTTCTCAGGAAAGCTGAGCACTTGTGAATATGTGTCCGATCTAACTGAGTGCTAATCACACTGCTGATCAGCCTCTCATGGCCAACAGTTCGACTCCTGGTCGGAAGGCTGCGGATTCGAAACTCACAGTGTTCGTGAGAAACACACCGCTGCTTATTCCCAACGAGAATGAAACAGCTGTACAGTGCTTCTCGGCTGTTTACTATAGGTTGGAGTAACTGACACCACCAAATCTCGCGCCCCTCTATCACATGTAATTAGTTGAATCAGTTTACCCAAACGGCCATCGATCTTCCCCGGGAACCTAGCATTTACGGGATCATGTGCTTTATATTGTTTTTACTGGTAGTGCCAGAAGTATCCCACAGCCGTTGTTTACCTTAGAAAGCCCCCAGTCCAATGTCCTGACAAAAGTGTACTAAGCTGATCCTGATTTTTACCCTGTCTCTATGCTTTTCCGCACTTTCGTGGGCACTTCCTTGCAGGCTTTCAAACGTCATACACATCATTTGGCCAAGTTATCCTAATACTATTAGTGCACTGTTGATGATGGCCATAATACAAATCAGAAGTTATGTGCACTAATAAAGGTTTTTAGTATAGTTGACAATGGTGAGATGCCACACGTATAAAAATAAATACAATGCAAAATGGGAGCAAGTCAAAAGAGGAACTTATCGTCTGTGAGAGTTCCTTGGTGAAAGTTCGGACGGCGGGAATGTGTTTTCTCCGCAGTATGGCTGCTACACGTGTTCCATAGTTGTCCGTGCACTTGTGGGTAGTGGTTGACTTCTGCTCCCTGCGCGCGCGAGAGTCTGTGTGTTGACTGTGTTCGGTTTCCCTAATTGAATATCCGTTTGCGTGTACGTGGGCGTGTCAGCACATGAGTAGTTGCTACGCTCACCAGACGTTACAGACAATCGATGTCCGATGAGCCACCTTAATGTGACGTGGTTTGTGAGTACGAAGAAAAGACCGGTCTCGTGATCAAGTGAGCGACTGTGAGCTGAACAGTCAAGTGTGTAGGTGACTCGGTTGCCTGGTTTGGTTCACTGCAAGGACATATCAGGCTCCTCTGATTACAGTAGGAACCTGGATGTCTGGCAATGTTTTCGCCCTTAAAACAACACTTACTTTTGCAAGCTAGTTATTAAAATAATTGGCTTCACTCAGGATACCGGTCTCAGAGGAATACTGTGGATGGTCATATAGCAGCTATGCCTAATAAATGAAAGACATGACACGGTACAATACAGTCCCATTACACCATTAGTGGCCCTTCAAATCATTTGGGTCGGCAAAGGAAACATTTACGGTAAAGTGAAGAAAAGGACCCTTCGTGTGCACACAAGTGAAGAAAAACAGTGACTTTTCCTTGCTTTTTCCTTTATGCCATTTGTAAGCCCCATAAAGGATGTAGCTTACTGATCAGGTTTTCGGAGTTTAGGCTGACAAAGGGGACTCTGATACTTTCCTCTTTCTGATGATCATGACGTCACAGTGATGCACTGGAAGATTGTCTATTACTTTTGGCGGCCAATTTGGGATGCATCTGAATTCAAAAGGGCCGTCACAGTAGAACTACCACCAACGGGGGACATTGTAAACACTTGATTTGTGTCCAGGCGAGTTTCTATTCAAAATTGGTAATAAAGCCCTTTTGTAAGTGCTTTGACAGCATCCGTACATTTTGAAAAGCCGAAAACTAGACGAATTTGAATTTCATATTCTGGCCTGTACAGGCAATAAACGGGATTCAACATGGGAACAGTGCACCATATACACTGAAGCAAACATACTAGTGGGAAATTCTGTGTTGTTCGGAACAAAGGTGTCGTTACTGCAGTATATCTAGCCCGACACGTCAGACGCGAGATGTGCACCAGGCCAATTCAGCTAGAAGGATTGAAAGCAGTTTTCTTGTGCAAAGTTCAAGTGTGAGGAATTGGTTGTTGACGGCCCAAGATAGCGTGACACTGTGTAAGCTGACCGCTTTAGAGGGGGGTTGCCGTAATTTGTACACGATCTGACATGTTGTATCTGGATTAATGAAGTGTTCCATGTCTAATAGGTTAGCTAAATGGGACTCTGAATTTCGTCCCAGCAGTTGTAGTGCTGGTGGTTCATCCTTATCCTGTAGACGTAGAGTAGATGAAGTTAGGCAAAGGAACGTGTAACTTGGCAGTGCGGAACGACTTCTAGTCAGACTCACGTTTGAAATGAAATATCCGAAAAGTCTTTTGGGTATGGTTACTTTTGTTTCGGTTTTGTCCTGCATACCGAAGAGGTTAGTCGTTTTGCTTTCGGGTGTTTGTAATAGTGTGTAATTCGTATTCCAGAGTGTCAGCTAAACATAGTTTTCAAGTGTTTGCAGTCAGACAGCAGAGATCTCCTTCCTACTGTAGAGGGAATGACCCGTATTTTATCTACTCAAGATCATCTATTGATTCATATTTCTTTGGTTAGAGGTATCCATTGCACTAGTCATTGTTACGTCCACTGATGAAAGCTGGTTGTTCGTCTTTATTTTCGTGATCAGTATCATAGGACTGTCGAAATAATTTGCGAATCTGTCTAAATCTAACTCTTCGTCGATGCTACAAAATATGTTGTCGAAATACCCATGACACTAAACTGGTCCCGATATATCTTCGGTCAACTCTTTTCACAATTCTAATCATACAGATGCCAGGGATTGGTAAGCTCAGTTTTTACTCACGACTAATCAGTTTTTTGGTGAGTCTGTATTATTACAATTGAACAGTGTATTGGGGATGCAAAGCAAGAGGAATTCATTCAGCCTATCTGTTGTCGCGCAATGTTTGAAGCTTCTACCTGTGTGCATAGGTAGGCAGCATTCTTCAGCATAGGTCGGTTTATAAATAGAGAAACTGTTTCAGGTGAAACAACGGTTCAATGACTGACATTATTCTCGCCTACGTCATCATCAACATCATCATCGTCACCATCAAAGACAGCAACATCAGTGTTGGCAATGATGCTTCACTGCTGTATCTCGCCTATGTGATATCTCGCAGACTGCAGTGAGCTATTTGTTGTCGGATAGTCTCAAACACTTCAGCGGTAGCGGGGTGCGGGAAAATGGTCAAAACAGCAGTCGGGGGCATCAGACATCTTGTATTATAGTTCTTAAGCCAACCCTACAAGAGTGATGTAACTAGGCCACTGGGTTCCAGGAGAAAAGGAGAAGAGTGCCAATAAACTTGACAGCCGTTCAGTAATGGAGTAAACTGAAGTTGTAAATTAGCGAGACATGAGTGTTCCCCATAGGCGTGAAGGTCAAGTGGGAAGGTTCAACCTAGTCTTGGAATGAATGGACTGGGACTGCGTAACTTGCCGCTCAGTAGTAGCGACGTTTTTTTGTTACAGGCTGCCAAGGTTAGTCGAAGGTCCAGACGAGTAAGTGTGAGGCAGCTTCGGAAGTTGTACGACGCGCTGGTACCGAATGAACTAGCCACTTTAGCCGACCTCAGTAAGGCCAACTGTATATTGACGGAGTGTGAACTTTTGGACGGGTGTGTAATAGCCTATTCTACTGATGAAGTGGGGGGTTAGTGTGTGGTCAAACATCCACATGTTTGACGGAAGGTTGATTTGGAAACTTCTGGGCCGTGTCCGTTCCTTATTATAGCCTGTTCAAACAACGTCCAGGAAAGCATAGGAGGACGCTTGAGGATGTTGGCTTTTTCAAAAACGCTTTGCAAAATAGGTATTTACATTTGTGTTGTTGTTTATAGAGAACTCAGCACTCGACGGTGCTTCTCCTTCCACGGGTGGTATGATTGGACTGACGTGACTTTGAAGCACTCAGCATCTCACATAATTTAGGACTAGATCACGTGTTATTCCAGTGTGATAACCTTTCATTAACTTGTATTGTTTGTCTGTGATCGGTTGAAGTAGAGGGAGAAATTTGCACACATCAGGCAACGATGATACTGATGGATCGTTTGTAGATAGTTATAAGCCACTTTTGGCTTTTTCATTTGTTGCTTCTGTCTAAGTCACCTAGTGCCGAAACTGCATCAATGCCTGTGAGCTATCGTAAAAAACGCGGAGAAATTCGCACAACTCTAGGCTTTTCCAACACTGTACCCGATAAGTTCACTTTTTTATTGCTCTCCGGAAATCTCCATTTGAAGCTTGTTTTTGTTACAATTAATCCCTAAAATTAGCCTTGAGACCTTTTTAACAGCCGGTTTCTGGATATTCTCTGCTGCACCAGTTTCCATCATTTTCGGAGGCATTTGGTTTCTTTGTCCGAAACCAAACTATATTTTAGCTGATGTCTAACCGCCTATCTGGCTGAATTATGTTCAGTTTTCAGAGGAATAAGGCGTTTTGCATCGGGCGACGAGGAAATTCTGAAACCTACTGCTTATTTTGTAGGCCTTCTGAAACACCATATGCTGGATTCCTTGTTGTAGGAACGGGCGTGCTCATCTCG